CTTTATAATATTTCAGATTTTTCAATTATTCTTTTGTCTTGATGCAGTAAGGATTATTATTATTTTATTAATGTTAAAAATATTAAAATATTAAATATTAGTTATCAATTATTAAATATTAGATTTATGATCAAAATACGATTCAAGTAATAACTATAGCAATAACAAATTTTATATGTTCTGCTTATGGAGCTGTAAGATGATTTATTTTAACTTTTGCTTTTAATTTTAATTTCAATCAATTCAATCAAATATTAATTTAATTATCTATTTATTTCAGGGACAAATATTGATTGTTTCTAAATGGTATAAAGATTTTAAAAATGAATGTCCTAATCATCCTATAAGAGAATTTGATTATAAAATATATGACGTGCCTTTAGTTGCTATACTGTTAACTTTTTCATTATTAATGGGAATTTTTGCTTATAAATTATATCAACATTTTGGTTGGAAGATTTATAAGAAAATCGGCGGGAATACTCAAATTCAAAGGCAAGTAAAGAAATAAGCAGAATTAATTAATCATTGATTATCATTACTTTATTATTAACAATATGTTCTGTTATTTTATAGAATGTATAAAAATTTTCTTGTATTTATAATATTTTTAAAACTTGATATTTTTTTTTTGTTGGTATTTGCCGTTGAGGCATGGATGTCGTTTTACGATGATGAGGAAGAACAAAGTAATCGTTACCATGTGCCAAAAATATTCCTATATTGTCACAAAACTATTACAATTTTAATTATCGTGTTAGAATTATTGGTTTATTTTTCAGTAAGTAGTATATTTATTATCGGTATGGTTTTTTATTGATGAATTTAAGCAGTAGATATTTATTTATTTAGTCTTTTATTTGAAGTCAAGGTTTGAATATAAACTAGGAATGATGGTCTTTTTGGTCTTGTGGACAGTTGTAATTTCTGATTACGTATTTATTTTTAAATACATCATCAGTTCAACGCTTTCTTGGTATTTTTTCATAATCTTTAGTAAGTTTGGTTTTTAAAAAATTTAATCAATGTTATTAGTCGTCGTCGTAACAGTATTAATATAAATAATATATTCTATGTTGTATAGCTGTGTTGGCTGTTTTGATGTCACTGGTAAGTTTTTGCAATCTAATAAATAAAAACAGTTAAATTCATTCATTTACTAATTACGGATGCATTAACGTTATATAGATAACTTGGATTTTAAGTTTTATAATTTATAAAAACTTTGGTAAAGGTTTATATGAAGCCAGTAAGTTACTCAATATATTATTATATCATTATTATTGTTACATATTATGTCGTTGCTATTGTTGTTAAATTACATTTTATATAATACAAAATTTATAGTAGTTGCAAGGGACAAGTTAAATCCTTCTTCGTCACGTAACAACAACAACAACAACAACTACAACAACAACAACACTGAAACAAGATTCGTTATAGATGATTGTTAATAAATAAATAAATAAATATATATATACATATCCATCTGTATGAATAGTGATTTGAAAACAAAACAAAATTATCAGCAAATAGTAATGACCACATATAGAATAATTAACTTTAAAGTATAATATAATGAATATTCGTTAATTTATAGAAATTTTTTAATAATGATCTGTATTCCAGCGAACTCATTCTTCTTAGAGATGGGAAACTGCGTGCGCATAATGCAGTGCATTTTTTTTAAAAAAATTTAGAATATCACCTTTTTCTTCACCACTTTCTATTTATCAACTTTTATTATCATTTTCGCCTCCCATATTTCCATCACAATCAATTGTTGTAATCTTACCATTGTTGGTATTTTTTGGACATTTTAATTCGTAATTAAAATAAACATACACCAATTTAAATCACATTCAGGTGTCAATTTGTCTCTCTTTTTATCATGTACAAAAGAAAAAAGCGGATCAATCAATCCCTTTTAGAAGCAAGCTGATGGAAAAATTCTAGCTTCGAAATGATGTATGTAATCTTTATTATTATTATTATTATCTCGATATTTTTCCCGCCGAAACGGAAATTAAGCATAATCGCGATTCACACAAAATGATCAACATACATCAACCAGGATTTTTTATACATGTAAGATCGGCAGGGCTAAGATAACAGTAATTTCTTCATATATATTATTTTATGTGTGATATAAATTTGGTATGTTACATAACAATTTAACAAACATAATCGGTCAATCATTTCTTTTAATTAGTAAATTCCCTGATTGGGAATCACGGGTTATTAATTGATCGCCGAGATACTGTATAAATAATAATAAAATTTGAATCAATCGTGTGTTGGTCATCTGATTTTAATACATGTAACCCCTTTTAATGAATATATATTTCATGAATACACACAATCAACATTCTTCATAAAGATTTTTATAAACAAAGCAAATAAAAGATAGTTTTTGTGTTCCAAGTATATATTAATGCATTTTCTTTTTTTCTTTTTAACAATTTTAGTAATTTGAAATTATCTTTTTTTTTTTTTTAAGTATTCCTTTTTTGTAAATTCACTCGCAGCGTAACAGGGATTGTGCGTAATCGTATCCCCCATCATCCTCTACTATTATCAAGGGCCTCTTTTAAATTTTCTCATCCAATTCTTGCTAATATCAATCATTAGAAAAAATATTTTAGATGTTAATGACGAAATGTAATTATCCTACAGCTACGTATATTCCATGATCATCGTCTCGTGGTGAGGTTTGGTTGACAAAAGGAATTCGTGCAACCTTTAGGTCCTTTTCCCCTTTAAATGATTGACACAATTAGAATTTTCAATTTAACATACAGCACGTTGCTTTATTTCCAGATGCAGCAAGTTACAATGGGTTCAAAAACATTTCTGCGTACTTGCGTTCCACGATATAGTGAGCTGTTCATAACGTCATTTATTTTGATAACTTTATGTTTATACAAATAATTCTTGAATTCGGCAAGTGATTCTGTTTCCTAAATTATTATAGAATTATATTTCAAAATAATTTGATTCAGATCGAATAATAATAACTACGCACAGTCACACATACTTCTTATACATCCATGATTTTCTTGTCAACAAATTTATGCCCTTTTTTACTGATTATTTTTTATTAAGCAGTAAAGACATTTGAGTTGTGCAATTTTTTTCATAATATAATAAATAAACCAAATACTAAGGCCGTGCAAAAAGAAATTTTAAAGACATAATGCCCTGGAAAGATGAAATACTCTTAAAAATTATCCGTATTAAAAGGCCGGAGCCCCCAAGTTACTGAATTGATTAGTTTGTCGATGACAGTTAAGATCCTAAAAATAGCAACATTGGGAAATGAATTTAATCTGATCCTCGCAGGATAAGTGTTTCATCCAAATGGTACTGGAAAATTTTTAATGGTTGAGTTCCTATCCAACCATGCACTCCATATCGTTATCAGGAAATTTTAAAGCTTGCGGAAATTTACGCAACCAATCTCAAAAAATTTAGTTAAATGGATAAAATTATTCCTTGGCTCAATCACATGACTTTTATGGATCAAGAATAGGCATATCAGCCGATTTGATTTTTTGGACCCTTTTTTCAAACCTTATTATTATTTCTTATTGTTAAACACAGGTATTTTTAATGTGTAAACTGGTCAGTAGAATGATAATTAACCCTAAAAAAAAATTTATTTGCTTGCTAAAAAAAACTATTTTAACATTCAACAACCCATCAATCCAATGGATCCACCTCAAAACCAATGGGTTCATACCGTATTGAATTTTAGGTTCAAACAAAATCAGTGCATATGGTTAGGTGTCAAACAAGTCTTTCACATTCAACCAGTCAGCCACCATAAATTTTTATTGTATCAACTCCGTGAGATCAATTGGTCAATCATGCTTTATCGGTTCAAGAAGGTAGAAATTATCCCTAATAATCGCGTATTTGCTCAGAAGGCGCGTGTAAATAAGAACTGGTCTCTGCGGCAAACATTTATTCGATTGTTTAGGAAGAAACTTATCCTTTATGATACATAAGGATGAGATAAGGTATAAATAAAACTAATAAATATTTGAAATATTAGTGTTCATTTGTTCAAATATATATTAATTCTAATGCGCCAAGATCAGGATGCAGATTTCCGAAAACAACGGACTTTCCCGATTGATTCTTTTAATCACATATGCTACTTAACAAACCGAGTTTAGTTGGAGCATTGATTTGGTAGTAATAGATAAAGATCATAAACATATACCTTTCCTGTGTATAATAATAAAATAAAAAAATTTTATATTGCTTGCGCCAGGGTCAAAATTTATCTGCGCATAATTTTGATATCTGAACTGAATTATGTGCACAATTTGTAAAGAAAAAATCAATTTGCTTAAAAAAATTTGTAATGTAGAAACTAGCGATAAAAGACCACAAGAACTCACAAGATCCGCAAAATCACAAAGAAGAAACTTGCAATAACAGAATTAATGGGAAAATTGAACGTTACCTTAATAATATAGAATACATCTTCAAAAGTTTAAAAATTTACGGCTTTGAAGTTTACGATATGTAAGATCACGCAAGGACAACAAAATGACGTCACGTTCGAGCTGTAGTTGTTATGAGCAAGTAGACCAACAAAAGGCTTTGTGTATTAAATATGTTAAACGACGACGAATTATTAAACCGATTATTTTTCTTAATATAAGGAAAACTTCAACTCTTTAAATTGGTGGGCAATATTGGTTTGTGCAATGGTTTCTTTTTTTATTTAATTTTAAAGTTTGCACAACGCTCAAAATGCCAAAACATTTCTTTTTTCAATAAAACTCGAATTAAGCCGAAATCCGAACCGCTTGGAGCCTTTAGTTGTCAGTATTGAAGGATCAGAAAGCAAGGTTTTTAATTTTTCATCTGATTTTTCCCACTCTTTGAAATTTTTCGGAATTTTGAATCCTAAATTTAATACTAATACTAAAGAGGGGTGTCCCCAAATGACATCATTTTGCTTAATAAAACGTCTAATTCAATTATCACTTCAGAATATCATCTAACCAATTTTCATCGTCATCTTTATTATTAACTATTGTGTTGATTTTCTTTTTACCGATATTTTTTATACTTGGTTTTGCAGTTTGTGGTTCTTAATTAATAATAATTTTTATTAGAATTAAGATTATCTCTACAATAAAAAAAATTTAAATAATACATAAATAACAAGATAAATAATCTTATATTTACCATTATCAAGTGATCTCAAGAAATCGTCAATATCATCAACGTCTTTTTCATTTGATGGCATTGATGGTTTTGCTGATTTTGCTGATTTTGTTGATTTTGCTGATATCGTTGATTTTGCTGTAGTTTTTGTAGTTGCGTATATTATATTATCACCAACATCTTTATTAATATCTATAGGTGATTTTTTTGCTAAATTACTACTACTACTACTACTACTAATGATATTGGTTTTAGCAGTAGCAGATTTATTGGGAGTAACTGTTTAATTAATTAATTAATTATTATTATCATTTTTTAATAAATATATTATTATTAAAAATCTAAAAACTAAACAATTTAAAAAAAATCACCTTTTAAATTTGAATTAGAATGTGGCCCAGTGATTCTAATTACTTTGGCAGATTTCTGATTTGATGGTGGTGATGGTGACGGTGATGGTGATGATGGTAATGGTGGTGGTAATGGTGGTGGTAATGACGATGAATTATTATTCAATAACAATGGAGCTTTTTCTTTTTTTTTGCTTGTTGTATATTTTTGAATGTTGTTATTATTAATTGAAGAAGAAGAAGAAGGTGGTGGTGGAGAAGAAGAAGTTGTTGATATAGTTGAAGATTTTATATACTTTGGAATTATTGGATGTTTTAAATTCATTGCATTTGAATCTTTAATATCAATAGTTTTTAATGCTTCCTATCATCATTATTATATTATTTTTGTATTATCGTCATCATATTATTATTATTACTTTATCACCATCATTATATTATTATAGGATTATATTTAGTTACCTTTAAAAAATCATCATTTATATTTAATCTTTCATTTAATTCCACACTACCTATTGATGCATCCAAGCTATCAAACCCAATACTCATTAACTCTTCATAAATCTAATTCAATCAAAAAGAAATTTTTATTATTAATTTATAGAAACTTTGCATTTCAATAAAATAATGACTTTTTTTACATTGTCAGTTTCATTTTTATCAACTTCAAGTGCACTTTCCAACTGTTTTTCTTCTTTAAATAAGTATCGGTATTTCATTTTTATAGAGTATAGTAAGCTATGTATCACAGTAGTCGATCATACATACATTTATAAAATGTTTTTGATGACATTTTGTTTTTTACCATGGAGCCAATTCTAATATCAATATGAACAAGATTCTCTCTTATGCTGAAGTTTTAATTGATGATCCGTCTATGAATTTAGTGAACTTGCTGCGGAAGCACTAATCTTTACATTCTCAAAGTAAAAAATTTTTTTTTCAATTCAAGCAATATATATATATCAATAACTTTTGGATTTTTTTTCTAGTTGCACATACAAAAAAATTTATCTGGCAGGGTTAAAGTATAATACAACTTTTCACTCAAACGTTCACCAATGATTCTTTACTAATAAACTGAATAATATACACAACTTTCCCATAGAATATCCAGCTACTTCATTTTGATCTTGGCGGATGGAAAAATTATCAACTTGAAATGGATACGAGTAGATGTAAGTTTTAAAAGAGTAAAAGGCGAGTGAAATCAATGAATTTGAAATCAATACACATGATCCAGTGCATCATTGAAGTAAGTGATTTTTTTCAAGTTGATTTGTATATTAGATACTAGGAAAGATTTTATTGATCAAAAATTTTAACTCTTATCTTAAATCACCATCACTTTGTCGAGTTTTTACAAACATTTTTACAATGGTGGATACAGACGCTTATTTTATCAATTTTGATGTAATTGAAGAAGTTAATGGGAAATCGTTTAAATTTTACCACATTCATAAAGAAGGCATCGGTTGGACCTTATCAGATTTAGATGCTGCACACGCTAAAGACTTAGGACTAGCATTACATCATTTAGATTCTGAAAAGGATTGGAAAACTCGCTTGATTTATGTATTTAAGTCATGTTTAATATGTGATTATTTATTTGCTTTTTTAAGCAAAATATTAATATTTACAAAAAAACCATTCAATGTAACAACCAAAAGGTTGATCAGACAAATTCCTTATGCAACAAGTGAAGAACAAATATATGATCCTTGAAAAAATTAATGATAATGTAATCGAGGGTATATTGTAATTGAATTACTTGATTGTATTATATTTATTGATACATACATGTACACAAAAAATATTGCAGATTGGTTGAAATTATTTATCAACAACGATACATTTTGACATCTTTAAACCAATCCATTTCAAAGATTGATCTTGATATTTGGGTGGATATGGAAATAGAACGCGAAGAAATTTTATAAAAGATCGACAAAAAAATTATATTTTAACATCCCCGTCACACAATAAGTATTATTCCGTGCAAAAATCAACTGTATCATTATTTTAAAAATGACAATTGAATTTTTAATTGAATCTTGAAACTTGGCTATAAACGTAAAATAACCGAGGTTGACCAAAAAGCTACCTTCGCACTATTCATAATAAATGTAATGTAAAATTTATTTAAATTGATTGTATATATATAAAATAAACTTTTTTTTGCTCAGTACGTCTACCTCGTTTTCAACCTCCAAGTTCCCAGTGTATAATGTTAAAGAGAAGAATCCGAAGGTTACACGATTATTTATCAAATAAGATCAAAAAATTCTATAAACCTTTTTTTTTAATACAAAAATGGACAAAAACATTATATATCAGTAAGAAAAATTATGTTAATACAAACTTTGATAAATTTGATTTTATTAGATAATTCATTCACACGAGTACTTTGATATCATGTTTTTATATGATTGTTTAAAAACTCATTTAATATAATAATAATAATGCATAATCAATTACATTTATGTATATACAACAAACAATAAAAAATCCTATTATACACATACATACATATATTTATTATGTATATGTATGTATGATCAACATTATTTATGGTCAGCAACCTCCTATTGCTGCTCCATGTGGCCAAATTTCTAAAATCCTTTAAAGGTATTTAAGGTATTTCCAAAAATGATAAATTTTAATATAATAAATAATATTAAACAACTATTTATACTATTGTTGTCATATACAATCAATCTATATACTTGTTTGTTCTCTGATTAAAGCTAACTTACCTCACTGCCAAATTTAGAGATGATTGTTGTAGTTTAGTCTAAATTTAGTAATGATCGTAGGGGCAAAGTTCCCTACAACTTTTATGGTGTTGCAGATCCTTTAACTTTTCCAAAATGAAAACGCATGACCAAAAAAACAAAGATGTAATTTTGAAGCTAAGACCTTTCTACAAAATTACATCTTCATTTTTTTATATATTAATTGTTACATACTAATATTTATATCTGATAAAATTCCGCACTTGACAATCTCGTTGTGGCGCAGAAAATTGTAGGACTAGGTGTCTTGCACTATAGTAAAATACATGTACTAAAAAAGAATAGAACTCTATAACAAATAATTTTTTGAGAAAATCTCGTTATTACATTAAAACTAAAGACCTATTATATCAACTAATAACGCTATTTTTTTAAAAGGTAGGATAGAAAGTGACTTCTATACTTTTTAAAATTTGTGAAAAATTTAGGAGGTCCTTAGACCGAACCAACTATATATTAAATTATATATCAGTAGTATGTATTATCGACATTACTATACTGTATAGTGATACATTACATAAATAGTGGGTTATACATTACATGTTTCTGTAATCCCTCATTTTTATAAACCATCTTTTTCTTCTTTGGGGGAAGATGGAGGTGGACATATGATAAAGACTACTTTTTCAATATGATCAGGTTTTAACCCTTTAGAAAAAATATCATCCGATTGCATGATTTCCAAGTCTGTGGAGGTTTTTCTACAGAAAGGTTAAATTAGAAATCGAGGTGCCAATTCCTCCTTAACTTTATGTTTAGCATTTCCCAGGGAATTTTTGATTTGGAAATTTTCTTTCGAGTCATAAACCTTTAAACTTGATATTTAAAAAAGTTAAATTTATTTGGAAATCACTAACAACATCCCAAAAAAAATAAATATTTTTTCCGATATAAACAAGGTTTTAAAACACTCGCTACACAGGGAATTAATTATCCATAATCTATCTGAACGATAAAAAATAATCCGGGTTTTTTTGTAAAAGGATTTTTTGGCATAGCTTACTTATTGTGATAATATATATTCAATATTTTTTATCTATATATATATCATATATGTATGTATGTGGTAGTCAAACATTTCCGCGGAGGATTATAATTATAGTATTAAATTCGCGTCATAACGAATTTTTGAAATTTTTGTTTCACATATTAACATTAACATTAATATAAACCCATTGTAATTGTTTCTACAATCAAACGATTTCACCACAGTTTATTAAAATCAAAATATTAAAAAGAGATTATTCACCATCGAAAGAAATGGATATTTGGAATTGCGTTGTTAAATGTGGAATTACTGGTGCTGCCAATCCTAATGCCGGCGGCGTTGACAGAAAATGAACAAATTCGAACCGGTAATTTTGGAATGTAACGTTCGAACCATATACAAACCATCAAATATTCAAAATGAACTATTAAAATTATTCGAATATTTGTTGCTCCTTAGTAAAGATTTTCAGTGTAAAGATGTCTCTTTTTTTCCTCGTGTTTTTTGCTTATTAATTCAAGATGATCAATTTGATTTTTGTGTAAGATCTTTTCATAAATATATTTTTTAATGATATAAAATATTGTTGTTCTATGAATACCAAGAATTCTAGATATATTGTAGTTGGGCACTCTTTTTTTTATAAAGACTGATGATTTCGTTTATTAAAAATTATGCTTGTTTGCAAAAAATTTAGTGTTTATTCAAAATGTATATTAATTAATTGATTTTTCGGTACTTTGTCTATTTTTTAATTATTAATAATTTAATAAAATGTTAGAGAAACAAAACTTTGCATATATAATTTTGAGAACTTAGGCTGCAAAATTATTGTTGTGCGATCATTGCTTAACTTTTGTTCATGTAATTCGAATCACATAGTTGGTTCTATAGATGAGTAATGTCCAAAATATAATTAATTTTTATATATTTAGACAATTGAGACCATGATTGTCCAAAACGAATTTTTAATGGATAATTTACCGACTTTTTGGATTTTGATATATATCCACGTGACTTTTAGTCGTATTTAAACAAATCATTATTATTTGTATTAAATTTTGTCTAAATACTATTTTGACAATTACCCCAAAAACAATTTAGACACCCATCTATAGTTGGTTTGAATCGAACCATAGAATATTCGAATAAAAAGTTTTTGATTATAATTCGAACCGGTTTGTACGCATGCTTAAATTATAAGCAAGCTTTTGATTATAGGCAATACACTACTATGTACGAAACTCCTAAACCCGCGCGAAAACCCCAAATTTGTATAATCATAATAACAGTTGAACGTCTTTAAAATACTAAAAAAAAAAAATACAATGTTTCAAAAATGTCAACAGATAAGTTCTATAGTTTATGATTCTGGCTTCAAAACTTATCGGTTGGATTTTTCTTGGATTGTTTGAGCCTTATAAGTTTCGTGTAACCAAAAAATAATAATATTTTGATATGTGGATCACATGATATTTCATTTGATCATTAAACCTGGTCACATTACCACTTAAGTCATTTGCTCCACAAATCCCGCGAATACTATTTAGTAAAACCTAATGTAAATAGAGCCCGTAATATACTAATTATAATACTTTTAAAATATATTACGGAAACACAACGAGAGTCACTCGCGAATTTGGGACTTACACCAAGACACCCTTATTTATTGTGCTTGCTATACGTAGAACCTATATAGGCAGATCAACAACAAAATAAAGATCATTGCTAAAAATAGATTACAAAATTTTAAATTAAAAAAGTTATTAAATTTCCTTCTAACTAGAAAAAGTAAATTACTCTTTTCTCCTCCCTCCCTCCCTCCTCCTTCCTCCTTTGTCCCTTTTTTTTTTATTAATTTCTAAATAAAAATAAAAAGTTGTTTTTGCAGTATGCGGCTATTTTCTTTATTACCATTATTCTTGATTCCTTTAACATTATTTTGTTGGCATAGAGCTTATAACTTGAACAAAGAAGCAAATATAAGTTTATATGGTGAAGACGATAAAAAAATCGATAGTGATTTAAAGTCATCTTCAAATGATGATCAATATTTAAAAAAAGATTTTGATAAAGATGTCAGAATTGATAATAAACTAGATAATTTATTCTATTTTATCCAGGTAATATATCTATTATGGTGGTTGGAGATATAAGTGAGTTGGAACTGATTCATCTTTATTTTTTTTCTTTCCCCTCTTGTTTAAAGATATCTGATCTACATATATCGAAGTTTCAAAGGGTTGGAGGAACTTATCACTTTTTACATTTTCTTTCAACAGTGATTCCAGCAATTTCTCCAAGTTTTGTGATTGTGACGGGAGATTTGACAGATGCAAAAGATTCAGATCTAGTAACATCGAGCCAATATGTTGAAGAATGGATAACATATGAATCAGCATTGATAGAGTCAGGAATACCTGCTAAAAGAAAAGAGTTTTGGTATGATTTACGTGGAAACCATGACTGTTTTAATGTTAAGTCATGGGAAAGTGAAGAGAATTTTTATAAAGAATACGGAATTGTAAAACAAAAAGGATTTAATTTTACCGTTGAAAAACCATTTGGTAATTATACATTTATTGGTCTAGATGCATGTCCGAAACTTGGTCCAGCTAGGCCTTTTAATTTTTTTGGTTATTATGAAATTGAAGATATGGATAATTTGGCTAATAAAATTCATGATGCATCTTTAAATTCTAATCATATCTTTTTGGTAATAATAATAGTACTGTATATTAATTAATAAATCATATCATATTATTCACATTTGATCATTTGTTTTTTTTTAATATAGATGGCCCATTATCCTACTGCAACAACAGTTTATGGTAAAACATCAAAAGGAGAAAGTTTTCATGACTTATCAAGATATATCAGTGTTTATATTTGTGGCCATTTGCATAAGCTCGCATGGGGTTTGGGTGAAAGATTACAGACATATCAGCCTACAGATTATCTAGAATTAGAATTAGCAGATATGAAAGAGCATGCAGCTTATCGAGTAATAGCAATTGATCATGATCTCATTAGTTTTGTTGATTTAATCTTGCCTTTAAATCAAGTACCATTAAGAAATCAACCAAAGCCGAAAAATAATCAAACGATCTTACCAGATAGATTAGCTTTTCCACCTGTTATACTAATAACAAATCCTAAGGACTCCAAATTTTCAATGAAACATCATGAACCAGTTAATCGTATACTGGATAGTACACATATAAGATTGTTAATTTGGTCAGAATATGAAATTCAAAATGTCACAATTTATTTGGATGGTGAAATTCATCAAGAAGATGTTGTATTAGTAAGAAGTAATAATAATAATAAAAGTGATGGCGATAGTAATATATCGCCACCACTTTGGACATCTAAATGGGATCCAAGTAAATTCAATAATAATAAAAACCATCACATATCAGTGTATGCTAAAGATATTTCAGGACAAGTTGGATATCAAAAAATAGTATTTAGAGTTGACGGGGAAAGAAGTGACATGGATGGGGGAGTTAGTGAATTTTTAATTGGACTTCGCTGGACAAACTTTGTAAGTAGGAATTAATTTTTTATTTGAAGATAAATAAATTTTTTTAAATTTAATTGATGATTAATACAAATTGTTTTAATTTTAACCTAAATTTTTTAGATTAAATTTTTATTTATTTTTATTCATTTAGTATTAATTAATAGTTTATTAGCTTCTAAAATAATCCTAACATTTAAACCAGATCATAGATTATTAAAATTAAATCTTAGTCTTTATAATGATTATAATAATAAATTTAATTTATTAATAAATTATATTATTAGTAAATTATTTTTATTTGTTTCACTAAAATCAAGATTATTTTATTCATTTTATTTTTATTTATTATCAACAATAACTTTACCTTGGTTTTATGGTAATTTCATACCAACTACAAATAATAGCTATGGTGTATTTTGGCTATATGGAATTAAATTACTAAATAGCAATAATAGTAATAGTAGTTATATTAGCTTTAATGTTAGAAGTGATGGTGATGGTAATTGGTTACCGATATTTGACACTTGGAGTTATGGCTTAATGGATTATATTTATAATTCTATTTTATTATTTTGGTTTTTATTAATTATAAAAATCAAAAAAATTAAAAATACTTTAATAATAATTGGAATATTTCTTTGGTTATTTAAATTATATAATTTATATAATTTAACGCTTTATTATACCAATTCATCTTTAATAAATATACAAACAATTTGGTTATTGGTTTGGGGTTATGAAGAATTATTTAAGAGATTTTAATAATAATAATAATAATAAACAATAGAAATTTAAATCGATATTTAATAAATCAATCATACAAGAATATTTTACGTGATTTAGTTCTGCACTTTTTAATTGTAATTCATTATTATTATTAATATTGAACTATTTGTAATGCTTTTGATGCGATTAATCCTGGTTCTTCTTACTATTATCTGAATTCTTATTTGAATGTGCACTTTTCGAAATCGTCATGGCCAAAGGTTGATTATATAATCTTGGAATTAGAATAATTGGGCTAATTTTGCCACTAACCTTACTAACATCAAGGAAATTCCTATAGAACAAAGACCATAAAAAACGAAAGTTTTACTGAGTATGAAACCTTTTTTTTGTAATTGTGAGTTACTCGACCAAAAATTACATTAACCCTTTCAAGCTTTCCTGACTCGGATATCTTCTTAATGACTATACACATAATCAGTCACGTGAAATTTATTTTTGAACTTTGGTAGATTTTTTTGATGACGTTATTTTCAAACATAATAAACTAGTTATTAAACGGTTTTTTTATCCTTTTTTTAAAAAATTTCTATTCACACGAAAAATAATATTATAAAAAAAATTATGCCCAAACCATCTAAAAGTTCAGTCGTTGCTACTAATGACAATAATTCTAACAATAATGACAAATCATCAACAACAACAGCAAATACAACTTCTCGTAAGACAATAACATCAAATACGAAACAAAAATCAGAATCAACTACAAAAATTTCTTCAACCTCTTCTACTACAAAAACAAAGAAAGTTTCCTCTAATCCTAAAAGGGCACTTAGTGCTTATATGTTTTTTGTTCGCGAAAATAGAGAAAAGGTTAAAGCTGAAAATCCTGGTGCAAAATTTGGTAAAACAGTTTTTTTTCTTGTAATATGGCTATTTTACGATTATATACTATTACATATTTTTCATTGTTCCTTTTTTTTATTAGGTGAAATTGCAAAACTTGTTGGTGAAAAGTGGAAAGCTTTGAATGACAAAACCGCAAGTATTTCCCTCGATAATTATCTCATTAATATTAAACATTATAAATTAATATTAAACGCTATAACATAATTATCGAATTTAGTTTTACAACGAAATGGCTGCTGACGATAAGAAACGTTACGAAAGTTGGTCTCATTTTATTTTATTTTTATTTATTTATTTATAAATTTATAACAAAACAATTAAAATTTTTCTCCTTGACTTTAAAAAAGATGAAAAGGCAGTAGCAAATAATGTGAGTTTGGACGCGTTTTTGTTATTAGATTTTGATTATTGGCTTAATTATAATTATAATTATTATTATTATTATTATTATTAGGACACTAGTAAACAACCTCCTTCTAAGACACAAGGTAAAAAGTCATCCAAGTCAAACAGTAGCAGTAAAGCTTTAGAAGAAGATGAAGCATTACCAGAAGAAGATTACGAAGAGTAAAAAAACAAAATTATTTCTTTGTGGCTTCTTTTTTTTAATTAATCCTTTAGAATTGCTTCAATTATTAATGTTATAAATATAAATATATCGCATTTATAAAGTTTATAATAATTTGAGATTCTTCATTGATACGGCGATATTGTAATGAACCAAATTAGAAAGGTTCATTCGCGAGATGTTGATCTGCTCTCTGACCTTGCAGAGAATCTTTCATACGAAATTATGATAATTATAATGAATGGCCTTTAAAAAAACGGCATTTTATGACAATTATGTTACACGATGTTTTGCAAAATATAAGTAGTTAGTTAGTTCCATTAAATATGGCTGTGTCTCTTATTACTATCATCACTTGAGATAATTATCATATTATTAGCAAATCATCGGTTTTTATTTATCCAATCAGTCGGTAAAAAAAAAATAATACAACGATGGAATTTCTTAAATTCATATATAATGCATGAAATTATGTGAGAAAAAATTTTATACAAATTTTTTTGTAGCATTATGAATTTGATTGATTTTATTGGTTTGGTATACTGATCAACTGACTTATTATTATATTTATTTATAATATATATGATACATTAATAATTAAATTAAGAAAATAATTTATTTATGTATAGGAAGTTACACGATGTACCTAATTTGGTAGTGATGTGATAAAGTTATGGCGCTCAACAAATAAAAAGTCTAATAAGGGGTAAGTAATGTTGCAATCTTTTTCGGCGGGGCAGTCAGTAGTTTTTCTGAATTAGAAAAAAAATAGTGTTAGCTTTAGATTTTCCATATAAATGCCAATAACTACTATATAAAATAATTTTTTTTAAAATATTTATTATTAGTATATTATTATTTTATTACAATTTTTAATAAACATTTTCAAAGCTTTTTTTGTGTGTAATTAACAATGTCAAATCGTCCCAGAACCAATATTAACAAAGATTCAAAGAATCAACTATCACATAATAATAATAATGTGTCAACACACAATCCTCTCAACGGAATAAAGGCTGGTAATGTAAATTTAATTAATACATTAAATTTGTTCATTTAAGCAAAAAAAAATTTTTCTTCAAAAAATATACATATATATACATACTGGTGTAGAACATCTATAGACTTATTTTATAAAGATTTAAGAAGAATTAACTTTGAAATAGTAAAAGTTAACACACTACTTCTTCTAATGCTATTTAATCTCTTAACATAACTACTATAAAATTTAAACAATTTATTTAACTTTTAAAACTTGGACAAATCAATTGACAAACTATTTTTTTTTTGTTAAGGTGATTTCGATCCACATAAGGTGATCAAAGTTACTGCTACCGACGGAAAAAGAGCTGAAGATTTCGAGCTGGCTTACAACGTTACAAAAATAATTGGTAACGGCTCTTTCGGTGTAGTATTTCAAGCAAGAATAATTGACAATAGTGAAGATGTTGCCATTAAAAAGGTTCTACAGGATAAACGTTTCAAGGTATATATATTTATTTATTAAATTATATATATAATATATATATATATATTTATTTATTTATTATTATCTCTCATCCTATCTATTATAGAATCGTGAACTACAAATCATGAAATTAGTATCGCATCCTAATATAGTGGGTTTAAAAGCGTTTTTTTATTCTAGTGGTGAAAAGGTTTGCAATTTAATTAATTATTGAAACATTAAAATTATTAAAATTATTAATTTATTGATTATTATTATATGAATATATATAAATATATGAAAATATATATATTATTATATTATCATCGTTATTACCATCATCATGATTGTCATTCATTGTTGTTTTATTAGAAAGACGAAGTTTTTTTGAACCTTGTACTTGAATATGTTCCTGAGACTGTTTATAGAGCATCAAGAGTTTACGCCAAGAGCAAGCAGACAATGCCAATGCTCTATATAAAACTATACATGTATCAACTTTTCAGATCACTTGCCTACATCCATTCTCTTGGCATCTGTCATCGCGATATTAAGCCTCAGAATTTATTACTGAATCCGGCCTCAGGTGTATTAAAATTATGTGATTTCGGAAGTGCAAAGATTTTAGTGCATGGTGAACCGAATGTTTCTTATATTTGTTCCAGATACTACAGAGCACCAGAGTTGATCTTTGGAGCAACAAATTACACAACAAATATTGGTAGATAATTATATATATATAATATATTTTAAATTTCACTTCTATAATTCGTTTAATTAGTTAATCAGTTAATTAATTATATATATATATTTTAGATGTTTGGTCAACAGGTTGTGTTATGGCTGAATTAATGTTAGGTCAACCTTTATTCCCGGGTGAAAGTGGTATCGATCAATTGGTTGAAATTATTAAAGTTCTTGGAACACCAACAAGAGAACAAATTAAAACTATGAATCCAAATTACATGGAACACAGGTTCCCTCAAATAAAACCACATCCATTTGCAAAGGTATTAATTTATTGGTTGATTAGTTAGTCAATTATTATTAATTAAAAATTTTGTAATTTTATTAACTATAACGCCATTTTATTGGTTTTGTTTAAAAACAGGTCTTCCGTGCTAGAACACCGCCAGAAGCTATTGATCTCATATCCCGTCTTTTAGAATATACTCCATCCAATCGATTAACTGCGATTGAAGCCATGTGTCACCCATTTTTTGATGAACTTCGAAACCCTGAAACAAGGCTTCCAAATGGAAAAGATTTACCGAGACTTTTTGATTTCACACCACAAGGTATTTAAAACCGAATAATAAAATAAATAATTAATAATATTTGCATCTTTATTTTTTTTTTAAGTTAAATATTTATTGATAATAATTATATTAATTTATAATATTGCAATTATAGAATTATCAATTCGACATGATCTTATTCATCAACTAGCACCACCACATGCAGAAGCCGAACTTTCTCGTAGAGGAATTGATGTTCACAATTTCCAACCACTACCACAGAGTCAAATGCGAGCAACATTGGATTGATAATGTTATTATTATATTTATGATTTCTCTCTCATGTATATTTATATATATTTTAGATTTACATATACAGCATAATATTTATATATATTAAGAAAAAAAGGAAAAGATAAATTATATCCTCACTCAATTCTCATTAATTACTACCTAATTATTATTATTACAATTACTTTAATTTACTTTAATTTTTTTTTAATTATAACTTAATTAGAATAGAAAACTATAATTGATTTATCTTTACCTTTTTTTATTTCTCAGTATTTTTATTATTGTTGGTGTTTTTTTGGGTGGTTATTTTTATAACATTATCATTGATGAAGATGAAAAAGATTATATTGAGAGAGAGAGAAATATTATGGGATATTTGTTTCTTGACAATCTATTTCAATTTATTTATATCATATCATATTCTTATTTATATTTTATTCTTATTTTTATTATAAATATTTGCATTATTTAGTTTAGTGTCACTTTATTTTTTTAAACAATGGTTTTATTATTAATGATTCTTATTATATTATAGTAAGCATAATAATAATGATTATGAGGATTGATGGAGTAATGTAATTATTGAACAGTTAATATATTTTTATTATTTTTATTTTATTATTTTAATTACTCATTTGTAAACCCTCTTTTTTAAATATAATTTTTTTTGAAAATCTGTAAGTTTTTTTTTCTTGATTATTTCACTTTACACACATATATACATACATATATATGAATATATATATATTATTTAATGTATACAAAAAAAAAAGAGCAATTAATCTTTAGTTTGATGAATATTATAACAAATTCCTTTTCTTTATATATATATATACTTTATATTTTACTTTTTTTTTCAACCAATATTAATTAGATTTACAAATACAATATATAAAAAACAAACAAAATAATTATTATATAAATATTTTATTTATTTATTTATTCCTTTTTATACAATTTTTTTTGAATATACTGCAATGATAAAGCATTATAATAATTATTAAGTTATCATTATCCATCCAACCAACCAATTAATTAATAACAGGAAGGAGCATCAGAAATCAAATTTTAATTGTTATATAATAATCCTATCATTAATATATATAAAATGAAAAAAAAGTTCGAGTAAGGAAGATTTATTATTATTATAATATATTAAATCTATATGAAAAATTCTATCATTGTAAATTAATTAATATATATATTAAATTATAATTATTAGAAGGTTAGAAGTGGACTAAGATTGAATGAATCGATTTTAAGTAGTAGTGATATAATGAATGATTTTAATATATTATTATTTATTCTTGAAAATTTTTTTAATAAATGTTTATATCATTATCTAAAAATGAGATTAAAAAATTAATTTATGCTTCATTTCTCAAACATCTTACGAATCATTTCTGTAGAGTATGATTTTGGTCTTTCAATTGGGAGTCCACTATAAATATACAAGATTATTTGAAAAATATATATAATTAAAAACATTGTATAAAAGTCATAATTTTACAAAGTCAACACCTCCACCACTACTTAAAATAAATAAATTACTTACAAAGCTCTATCCCAAATACTCTGCGATAAAACACCCAAGGCTCTAGAAACTCCAAATAAAACTGTATAATAATTTTGCTCATTTAATCCATAATATTGTAATAATACACCAGAATGTGCATCAACATTTGGCCATGGGTTCTTGGTTTTACCATGCTTAAGTAATACATCTGGTACAATGTTGTATAATTGTGAAACTAACTTGAACAATCCATAATCGGGTAGATTTTTTAATGCAAATTCTCTTTGTGCTTCATATCTTGGATCCTATTTAAATGGACATATAAGATGTGAGAGAAAAATAAAGAGATGGAATAAAAAATATGTAATAAGAAAGAAACTAAATAAAAGCTTACGGTTTTTCGAAGTACAGCATGACCATATCCAGGTACAACTTTACCAGATTTCAATGTTGACCAGACATATTCTTTTACTGTTTCATCACTTGGTGATTCTCCAACCTCATCTCTCATTTTATGAATCCAACGTACAACTTCTTGATTTGCAAGACTTTTTTTAAAAAAAAAAATTTTTTAAATGATGAAAATCAAAATAACATTGAAAACAATGATAATAATTACCCGTGTAATGGGCCAGCCAAACCATCAAGTGATGCAGCAAATGATAAATAAGGGTCAGATAACGCACTTCCAACGAGTCTCTAAATTAAAATAAAATAAAGCCAAAAATATGTATATGTATGTATGTATGTATGTATGTATGTATATAAATTTTATATTTACCATTGTATGAGCAGAAACATTCCCACCTTCATGATCTGAATGAATAGTAAGATAAAGCCTCAACAATTCAACAAAACCTTTATTGTCAGCATAGCCAAGTACTTTTGCTAAATTATATGAATAATCTTTATCTGCTTCTATAGGGGCAACCTTCCCATCTTTATATATATTTCTATATATTCTACCAACAACATTAGGTAATTTTGAAATTAAATCCATGGCATCTTCGTAAACATATTCCCAATATTCAGTTTTATTTACTCCAGTTTGATAAGCTTTAGCAAAATTAGAATCATGTTGTAAAGCTGTTACCGCTAAGGAAAATTGTGACATTGGATGTAATGTATTTGGACATCTGTCAATAAGGTCTTCAACAAAAGATGGTATAACGGATCTGGCTGCCCATTCAGCTGATAAAGCAGTAACTTGTTCTTTGGTTGGTATTTCACCAGTTACCAATAACCAAAAAAGACCTTCAGGTAACGGTTCCTCGCCACCACTTTCATCAGCTTTAGGTAAAAGTCGTTGGCAGTCAGAAATGGTCAGGTTACGAAATCGAATACCTTCATCAGGATCTAAGACTGAACCTTCCCAAATCAACCCTTTTATGCCTCTCATTCCTCCATACACCATATCAACCGACACTTCTCCTAAAATTTTTTGACCATATTTTGATTTAACTAATTTTATCTCTTCTTGTTTTTCTGGAATCAGTTCTGCAAGACGTTCTTTAAGTGTCTAATTAAAAAAAATAAAGCAAATTTTGAATGTTTATTTTTGTAAACGAGATCAGTTGAAGAAAAAAAATTTACTTTTGGTCCTTTTGGTCTTGGGGAAGAGTAGAATCGAACAGCATTACTGATTGTAATTGGCAATATTTGTCTTGTTAAAACTTTATTATTTGTGGGTATCTATCGTTTTTATTAGGAAGTAGTAATTGGTTAATCAGTAAAAAAAAACAAATAAATTATGGGATAAAATTTTCTAACCTTTGATATGTTAGCACGGGAAACAGCACGTAAAAAAGATAAAGACGTCAACATGATGTTATATTATATATTTAAATTAAATAATCTATATTATTTTTTTATAAAAAAAAAAAATTTATAATGTTTATATATTAATATATAAATAACGATTATCAAAATCTCGATTTTTTCTTCGGGATTGGCCGGAATAAAAAAATCATTCCTTGTATGAAAGAAAAAAAAACATCTGAATTTTTTTTTTTAAAATATAAAGGTCATTTATTCATTGTGAAATTGCAAATATTTTTTTAAGATTAGATTAATTAAATAAATCTATCCTCACAAACACAAATTAATTTGTGCTTTGTTAATTAATATAATAAGAAAAATATTATTTCGGAACATAATGAAAAAGGAGGAGAACAACAACAATCAATAGTAGTATTGCTATAAAGCTATAAAGCTACAAAATGTACAAAACATGATAAAAGTAATCATTGAGTATAACAATAGTAAAGAATCGAAATAAAAAAAACCATATATGCTGCGTCACATTACCAAATCAATCAAAAATGGAATTCGCGTAAAAAATGGGCCGGGTAAATTACAAATAACTACTATATTGTGGAACTTTACACAATAACCACATGCTCATCAAAAGTTGAAGGAAATCTTTTGACATGCATTACAGTACATACTCTATAACGGTCTTCTTATTAAATTTCCTATAGTATATAACGGTCTATCTCTGAAATTATAACGGCCAATGATCATGATCTGAAGCTATAATTACCAGACTAGGAAAATTTTCTACCACATCAAATTAATAATTAGTTATGAATTAATCTGAACGCACTTATATTTCTCTTGTTGTTATATACAATATGATTATTATAACAACAATAAATCTGTCAACATTATTTCAATATCTTTATAACATTACTTTATACAAATATCATTATTACTTGTATCTATATCGTAATTTATCATCACTACTTTCAAAATGGTTATAATTCATAATCGAATAATCATAATAACATCATTATGACTTACTATAATATTGATTCATAATATAGTTTTACTGTAAATATGATATAAGAACAGCCTTCCAACTTTCTTATGACTTCATGATGTTAATGCCTTCAAAAATGTATACAAAGACATCAAATCAATGGATCTTGAAACATATTACAAATTATTATAATAATTAATTGTATCACATTATGAATTTATCACATTATGAATTTATCACATGATTACGATCTGTAAATTCAATGTTGTATGTGAAATTTGAAATTATGTGAAATTGAAATATTATTATGGAATGGATGAAATTCTGATTGGCTAATTTGAATTTCACATATGTAAATTTGAATTCCATATATGTGAATTGCGAATCCATTTTCACGTACAACAATGCCAAAACAGAAGGATCGCTATAGAGAGTGTGCCGATTTTATCATTTATGGAATGATCAGAAAATGTCACATGACCAACCAATTTTATTGCCTCTACCGCAGAGGCGCAGTAAGTTACGGGCTGATACTTAGTCCCACAAACTTTTTATTGGTCGCGTAGATTTCAAAATTCTCCAAAAATGGAAATGCAACACCCCAAAATAAATCGTGTATTTGAAGCCAAGATCTTCTTCTACAAAATCACGATTTCATCTCATTGATATGTCATGTTGCTGTGAGGAATTTGAGCTTCAAAGTTGCACAAGTTTTACTGAATTTACTATGTTTAGCCCTAAAATGACGTGTTACACACAAAAAAGGTTAACATCAAAAATGGAAACAAAATAAAATTTCTATTGCAGATCTTTTCCAGATGAACGGGAAAAGAATTCTTTATTATTAATAAAAATACCAACTAAGTTCATTTATTTTAAATTTAATAAATAGACTATTGTATTGATCAAAGAAATGTGCAATTTGCAAAATATTCTAACGAAAATTTATCAATTATTTATTAGTTTGTGTAGGAGTAATCGAAGTAAGGACGAGATCTATGAACAAAATATACTGACGAAGGTTTTATCAATCATCCAATAGTTTATATAAATTTCTCTTTTATTTTAACTAATATTTAATAATGTCACTATAATCATTATTGTTGTTGTTTATTCTTCTAATCATCATTTACATATGTATATTGGAATAAATGTAAAAGATATATTTATTTAGCACTTGATGATCTTCGAAAATCATGTGACTGTAAAATTTTTATTGCATTTTTGATTGGAATTTTCTCTCAAAATTGGCGGCGTGGCACAGAAAGTTGCGGGACTAAGTGACTTGCACTATACTATTATGATGTTAAACAAACTCGCTAAAATTTAATCCTGAAATTTTTGTTAGTACAAGTATTCACTTTATCTGGTATTGTTGCAGCATACCTCATATAGCTTGAGGTAGGATGTCAGATTGAAACACACTGGATAATAAATAAATGGTGTGAATTGATTAGTGAAGCAATTCAATTGGAATGTTCAACATGAAATTTCAGAATTAAAAGATTATCAAGAAAGAATCAGAAAAAGGATGAGGATGATGATCAAGATGAAGCATAATTGCAATGATGACAACAGTAATGGTGGCAATTTAGTATAATAGATTATAAACAAATATCTTTAATAATTATGAATGTTGTGCGTGAATTTGGAATCCACGCGCGTGAAATTCAAATTAGCCCAATCAGAATTTGTATTCAAACACCCACCCCAAAATTTAATTAATGCTAATATTGATAAATTTTCAAATTGTCGCAAATTTGATTTTCACGCACAACATGAACATTTAAATTAGACTTCATTTCTAAGAAGTATCTGTAATATTAATGGTAGCAAAAATAATAATCCAACCAACAACAATTAATAAACAATATTATAATTTAGTTGTTGGGTTTTTTCTGGCTCTCTATTTTCAAGAATCGCATATTCTGTTATAATTTACTTGTTGATTTCTTTCTTGTTCTCTTTTCTTCCAGGAATCATGTATTTTATGTGTTTGTGCAATCAGTTTTTCTTTATCAATACCATCTTTGATGCTTTGTACTATTTTATCAACAGTAGTGGAAGGATTTGGGTATAGTTTATCATCACGAAATCTTAAAAATTGCCATGATAATGAAGAAGGATTACAAACCACTTCAACTAATCTTTCATCAAGTTTCTCATTATTATCAATCCATCTTTTAGGAAAAGAGGAAAAAAACAGTTTATATTAATTCATTAAATAATTATTAATATCATATCATTCAAAAGGTTTAAAAAAATGCATACATTTTCCATTGTTCATAAGTTACATTCATATCATTAAAATATTCATATCCATTATTTCCTTGTTGAAATAGACAAAATCTGGGCATTTCTTTATTTTGATCATGTTCAACTTTTAAAAGAAAATCAATAGAATTTTTACTTGGTGATTTCCATTTTAAGCTTTATTTAATAAAATTAATTAGTTATTGCAAAATTATTATATTATATATATATATTAATTTATATATTACATTTTTTCATTAGTTCCCATTTTATAACCTGACTTTGCAGATGTGAAAATTAATCCATCATTCTTATGTTTTAATTTTGAAGTTATTTCTTCAATAACTTTCTCTAGACCATAAGATTTCTCCATCTCTTTAAAAGTGAACCTTTACATAATCATTATTATTAGTGAGGAGAAAAAATTAAAATAAAAAATATGTTGTGTATGTACTTGAGTGGTTGATTATTTGCAAGCTGTGGGTTATTTCTTAACATTAGTTTATTATAATCTTTTATAAGAACTAGTAAATGCTAGTTACCATATGTGAAATTATAAATGTGGTTAGAAAATTTATTTTATTATTTAATATATGGTAAGTAGTCAATCATTAAAATAAAAAAACTTACGCCTAATCTTTCATCAAGAGTTTTTTCCATTATATTTAATCCTTTATCAATTAACATGTCAAAGGCAAGAAGTATCAGTGTACACTACACATATTAAATATAAATTATAAACATAAATTATAAAGATAAATTATAAATATGTATATTGTGGAAAACTTTTACTTACAGATCCATCAGGTTCAATATCATAAACTAGTTCACCATCAACTAAACTATCCCAATTGGGTGTATTAGGATCAACATTCATACAATTTGGAGCAGGAAACTTTACACTTGATAGATGAAAATAATGATTCATTCGATCAATCTACATATATAAAATTAAATATATTTTTATGAGTCAAGAGTGAAATATCTTTTCTATTAAAAAATGAATAGTAATAATAATAAATACCAAATATACATCTTGATCATCATTTTTATCCATTCTAATATATAAAAGGACACGTGTCCCATCAGACTTTTCACATACATAATAACTATATACAAATTATTCTTAAATATATTCATAGAGATCAAATAAAGTCAAATCAAATAACAACAAAACAATAATAATTACTCTTCTTTTTCAAGTTCAATTAAGTGTTGTTGTGTGAAATTGACAGGTTGAGATCCTATAAAATCAACAATTATTGATATATTTTGCTTTCATTCATTAAATTATAAATATTACTATTAAAATTATTGTGTTATTATACCAGGAAAACTCCTAAAATGTGTATATATAAAATTCGTTGTCACAAAAATATAAATAAAGAACCAACTGATCATGTAATATAGACCAACTTACATAGCTGCACCAATTATTGAATTTATCCTTTTTTTTAATATTTCAGCATGAGAAAAATCAATTTGATTTCCTGGTACAACAGGAAATGGTGAATTGAAATTTTGTAACATGCTAAACAATAAATGAGTGTTATTGTTATTTTGTCATTGTAAACAACTGGAACCGAAAAAAAAATATTTAAAATAATAGTAATATTACTATGCTCTTATAACGGTTATAAAGAGAATGTACTGTATATATGGATGTATCATGTAATTTAACCGAACCGCAGTTCAACTTTATTTGACAGCATTTTGTACTATTACATCATAAACAACTGACTTCGTGAAATTTGTCTTTTATATAAAGTTTTCTTACACATTGAAGATCCAACTATGCCTTTTTTGGTAATCTGAATTGTATTTCCCAAAGATGATGTAATTAATTAAAATTTATATATACCGTGAGAAATTCTTTATAATGATTTCTTCGTTATCAAAAAAATAATAATTAAATGAATTACTTTACTAGTACCAAGGATGAATTAGAAATAATCATAAATTGTAAGGATAATGACCATTAATTATAAGTACTTTACACAACAACCACTTCCCATTTTAATCCGATTAAAAAAATCCTCGGGAATCCATGCTGAAAATACATCAGGTATAGAAGCATTCTAAAAAAATTTCTTTCCCATCAGATGGAAAAGTAGATAAAAAAAATCCAATTTGAATTATGAATTAATAATTTGTACTTACTTTCCCAAATATTTATTGTATTATATAATAATTTTACAACTCGAGATAAGATAAATAAATATGTTATTATTTACTATATGGGCGGACATTCCTTCTTTTATTATTTAAGAAATTTGTACTTGCATTGAAAATTTTGCATATAAATATGACTCGAATTCATCGTTTATTTTTTTTTCCCTTAACAACAAATTTAAATTTCTTCCCATAATAAAATTTCTCACAAATACTAAAATCAATAATAATAATAATAATACTCCGAGAGTAATTGTTATTGTTATTATCAACAACAACTTTAAATTTTTTTTTTATTCAACTCTCTAATTCAACCACAAAAACTAAACTAAAACCTAGAAGACATGACTTCAACTGTTGCACAAACTGTCGTCTCTCAAATTGTTGTCGTCGAGGACACTACTAATGCCACCGCAAAACCCGAAAATGCAACCAATTACTGCATCATTATGTAAAAAAGGATCATTCATTGTGGGAATGGTTGGAGGTTGAGATATGTAATTTATTACGATCACGTTATAAATATTTTTTTAATAGGGAAGAAAATGTCCTTTATAAATTTGTTGTTCAAATGATTCTTTTTTAAAAAAAAAGAGATAACTTTAAAAATATAAAATTTTAAAAAAAATTCAAAAATTTTTTAAAATTAAAAAAAAAGTCCTTTATTTATTATATTTTTTTTTGATTATATTATTATTTTCAATATAATTATTATTTTGTATTCTTATTAGTTCTTTTTTATATAATAAAATATAGTTATCTCAAAAAAAAAACTTGTGCGCGTTATTATAACTGTGAATCTTTGCTTGAATATTGAGATTCGTTTGATGTGTTAAAACATATTAACAGGAATCAGAGTTTATAACGTGGGAGATTAGAGTTGGAGATTAAAACTTTTTAAGCAGGGTCCTCTTCATATTTTGAGTAGTTTTATCAAACAAGTGGGTAAAAATATCATTATTTTTGTTTGTATAGCTCCAAAAAGCATTAAATCCTTTAAAAGGTAAGTTATAATGTGATGTTGATAATTTGATAATGATAATAATGAAACAGTTCATTTGTTAGAAGAATTGAAAGTATACAAATTAGTAATGTTTTTTAATATAATTAACACCTTACATTTGTAACATATTGTTGTATCTATCGTGACATTGCCTATCCAAATAGTATCAGAAAACAAATTTTTATAGGCGCAGTGCTTAAACAATAATAAAAAGATTATCATTTTTTTTAGAGTATATATACAAATCTTCATTCTCCCGGAAAAATACAACTATAGATAAATTTCATAGTTTTTTGGTATTCAAAATGGCTGAACTTGATTCTGATTGGTATTTCGGTTCGAGAATATCTAATGAACCTAAGAGTGATTATTCTGAATCTAGTGACGAGACCTTCATTGACAATGAAAATAGAGCGGTTGACAACAATACTAATGATACATCCATCAAAGACACAGATTTAAATTCCGAGTTTCAGTCGCTTATTATTGATCTAGATTCAAGCTCTGGCGAAGAAAGCGATTCTTCACTTGAAGAAGTTATTAGTCTAAAGCTAAATAAATTAAAACAGGAACAAATGAGACTTACCTTGTTGAAGGAAAAATCATCAGCCACTGCTGAAACACTACACGTGGACTTGAATGAAGTAATAATGATAAATGACCCTTTGAATAATCCACAAATATTATCGTCATCATCACCTGATTTGGAAGACCATGATAATAATAGTAATAATACTGCATATCAAATTCCTGAATTTCCATCATGTCCACTTGGATCAAATAAAGAATATGCTATTCACATATTAAAAACTTCAAAGTTCAAACAATCAACAAAATTATTTGCGCCACCTATATCAAATGTTAATGATGGATCCGCTTGGATACCTAAATCAAAACGATCACGACTTCCAATTGAAACCCGTAAGGAAGATATTATCAAAATCATTCGTGACAACAGAGTAATTGTTTTAAGTGGTAGTACTGGTTGCGGAAAGGTAATTCATTAATTATATACACTTTAAATCACTAAAACATCTATTTATGAAAATGAAATAATAACTATAATATTTAATAATAATAATTAGTCTACTCAAGTGCCACAATATATATTAGATGATTGTTTACAAAGAGGTGCCCCTGTTAACATAATTTGCACGCAACCGGTAACTTTGCATACAAATTTTTCATTTTAAAAAGTTTTTTTATCAGTTTAATTTCTCCTGACCCTCATACAATTTAATATTAGCATCATATTGGTGCAATTTCTTTAGCACATCATGTTGCATTAGAAAGAAATACTAAACTTCATGGTCAAGTGGGATATCACGTTAGTGGTAAATGTGGTTATTCGGCTATAACAAGATTACGTTATGTTACTACAATGATTTTATTGGAAATGTTAAAGACAGACAGATATTTGGCCTCATTTACTCATGTCATTATGGATGAGGTAAGTTTATAAGAATAAAATTTTAATGTTCATCCAATAAAGTGCAAATCAATAATTAAAACTTTTTTTTTTTACCAGATTCATGAACGTAATATAGACGATGATGTGATGATGTCTCATCTATGTGTTATATTAAGAAAAAACCCTGCTTTGAAATTAATAATAATGTCGGTAAGTTTATTTTTTTCAACAAAATATAACATATAAAAATTTTTTTTATTTTTTATAAGTTATTTATTCCGATTCTTATATTCTAGGCTACAATGAATGTTAAAAAATTTGCCAATTATTTTCATGAATTTGAAGCTGAAAAGGATGGTTTTGTTAATGAAATACCATGGATAGATATTTCTAAAAAAGCTTTTCCTGTTGATGTGTTTTATTTAGAGGATGTGTATCAAGCATTAGATACACCTCTTTCACAGAGAGGTGCCATAATGAATGACCCCAAAAAACCTTTTATGATGCAAGAACATTGTGATGTTTTTATAAATTGGATATTTCAATGTCATGTACAAACTCCTGCTGATGAGGCATTTTTAGTTTTTTCACCTGGTATTGCTATAATTGCTGAAGTAGTAAGTTTCTATAATTTTTTATTTGTTTATCAGTATTTCGTCATGTTACTTAAAATAATATAAATTGATTATATTTTTTTATTTTTATTTTTTTTTGTAAAGGAAGGTCGATTGATGTCCCTTGATGAAAACTATAGGCAAAATAAATAAATAAATATATTTATTTACAAACTTTTAGATTTATACACTCTTTATAAAAAAAATAATTATATATATTTGTAAAAATTAGGTCAATGTTTCCTTATACTGATGGGAAGCCTACTCCTGCAATCTCATTGATTAAACTTCATTCAACCATTACTATTGATGAACAATGTTTAGTTATGCAGAGGCCAAAACCATGCTATAGAAAAGTAATGTGCTAAATTTTTGGGTTTCTTATACATTTTATTTTATTTAACGATTTAATAATTTTAATAATTTAGATAATATTGGCAACAAATATTGCTGAAAGTTCTATCACTGTTCCTGATGTTTGTATAATATTTGATTCTTGTTTGCGTAAGGATTTACTTTATGATAAAGAAACTAGATGTTACAGTTTAAATGAACAATGGATAAGTAAAGATTGTGCCGAGCAAAGGAGAGGAAGAGCTGGAAGAGTTGGTCCTGGTGTGGTAATGTATATATATATATATATAAAATAAGAAATTGTATTGAATTTTTTTTTACCTTGGTATTTTATAATATCAATTTTATTTTCAAATTAGATTTATCGATTTGTACCCAAAGAATTCTTTGAAAATCTTCCTGATGAAAGGACACCTGAGATCTGTAGAACACCACTTAATTCCTTACTTTTACGATGCATACATGGAAATCTTGGCGATCCTCAAGAATTGTTATCTCATTGTATTGATCCTCCTGATGATACAGCAATTGAACATGCATTAGAAGATCTGGAAGCAACTGGTGCTGTTATCAAATCAAAAAAAAATATTAAAGGATCTGATGATTGGGTTCAAGGTGGCCTTGTTGCATATGAATATGAAATTACTCGTCTTGGTATAATTTTGGCACAAGTTCCTTTGGACCTTCATTCTGGTCTATTAGTAATTTATGGTGCAATCTTTGGTGCTTTATATGATTGTATGATTATTGCTGGTAAATCATCAATTATCAGTTATATTAATAATATATATACGCTTTATAATATAAATTAAACTTATTCAAAATTATCATTTCATTATAGCAATATTGCAAAACAAAGGAGTCATTGTTGAATCTCCAAATCAAGAAATAGCTACAAGTGCAGCATTAAAAAGATTTCACTTGGATTTACCTGACTGTCAACCATTACATGGTGGATCTGATTTAATAGCACAATTACGTGGATATCTGTTATGGGAAGAAACTACACAAAATGATGATGATTTTGATCAAAGCAAGGAACTAACATGGTGTCAACAACAATCCATTAGTCTTTATTGGATACGAGAAATACAAGATCTTGTCATCACTCTTCGAGAATCTTTGTCTCATCAAGGCTTATGTTCGCCTGCTACAAAAGAAGAAAGAGACAAAACGCATAGAAATCATATATTTAATCCTAATTTAATTGACAATATACATGCAAGCAATAGCAATGACCTTGAAGATGAAGAGGAGAAATCAGGAACAAGTCAAGAAACTACATATTCAAGAGATATCAAACAAGCAATTCTATTTCTTGATATGGCAGCAGCATCTGAAGAAATTTCAAGTCTAAAAAAAAAAAAATCAAGTTCAGAATTGCCAGAACTCAATTTGCATAACAATCATTCAAACTCCAATAGTCGGATTTGTGAAACACCTAAAATTATACAAAAAAAAACAAATCCTTGGATGAACGTGTTTGATTATGAATATGAAATAACATCAAACCAAGTCAAATTGAAAAGAGAACCTAATATTCTATTAATCAACATTTTACTGGTAACTGTTTTTCATCATAATATGTTGCGAGTTGTACCAAACACTGACAGTCACACATTTAAAAATTGCCCAGAGAATTTTAATCGAGGTCATACAATTGAATTTTTGGCTAGAATTCTTCCTCCAAAACCAAAAATTATAGAAACATTTGAAAAAGATATTGGAATAGTGCAAAAAATATCACATCCCGATAATGAGCAGTTTAGCTCTGATGCAGAGTTTGAATCTTGTTATATTGAATTTGCAAAACCTTGTAAACTTTTATGGACACATTCAACTATCAGAAATGTTCCAACGCTACCAGATGCTGTCTTTTTGGCACATAAATATAGTAACGTAAAAAATTACATCTGGACTGTTGACAACTCTATGGTATCTAACCCATCATCTGACACAACATCATCTGACACATCATCATTTGACACATCATCATTTGACACATCATCATTTGACACATCATCATTTGACATGTCATCATTTGACACATCATTTAACTCAACATTGTCTAATTCAACTTCTAATCCAGCATCATCTAGTAGTAATTTTGAGGATACAAAGGAGCCAAGATTTTATGCAGTTAACGGAAGTCCAGAAACTTCAGTTGCGCTTTCACCAATATTTCAAAAGCAGTCAACTAGAGTATTTGCTTCAAAATCTTCATTATTTTTTCCACTAATAATTACACCTGCAGAATATAAGTATTATACAGTTTGTGCAGGAAAATTACTTGCGGTAGACCATGGAAAATTAGATGTTGGAGAGTATATTACATGTCTTATGGCACCTTTAAATTCCGAAAAAAACGTGGGGGATATCATTCTTGCATTATTTGCCAACAAGTTAATCAACAATGATCCATTGTGTGGATGGCACGTTAATGTAAATTTGACACAACATCCCATATTCGATCAAAAACCATTAGATTTTGATTCAAGATTAATTGATTCCTTTAGATATTTTCTGAAACAAGCATTGGTTGAAGAGCAGCCAATGGTAAATGAATCATTATCAGAAAATCTTTTTGATGATGATTTTTTATCGTTCACATCATCATCATATTCAAATAATTGTGAAAACTTGACTAATATTTGGCGAACATGTAAAATCACACCAGATCAGGCAGGAAAAGGGCTCATAAGAACAATTTTATTACTTATGTAAAATACAAAGATATAAAATAGATTTTTTTTTGCATATCTTTAGAACTTTTAGAGCTTGAGATATATATACATATATAGATTCATTTAGCTATTATAATTTTTGTTGATTTTTTCACAGCTTAATATGGATACAATTATGAACACTTGTATTTTATAATTCAAAAATCTTTTTGTTCAGTCAAATATTGGTTAATGTAAAATTCATTCCGAGCTTTTAATTAAATATAAAATTTACCAAACCTACCTAACCCGACCCCTGTTCTTTGTTTTGATTGGGTAGAAATGAGACGATCTTATACTAAAAAGGATAGTGATGTTTAGTGTAACCGAATTATTTGGGCAATGTGTATTTATATAACATACAGTTGTTGAAAACCCTACATATCTTACTGAATATCCTTTTTGGAAAGGCTATTTCTATTAGATGGCTTACCTTACAACGTAAATTAATTAATTTGTTTGCAAAAAAAAATTGCGAAATTTAAAGAGAAAGTCTCGATTTTTATTTTATAATTAAAAAGTGAATTCATTGGTAATATTTTATCTAAATGAATCAAATAGAAATTAATATGTTGTGTAAAATGTGTAGATATAAGAAAAAAAGTTAACAATGAACTGATTTTTAGTTTTATAACGATCAGCCAATTCATTGTTGCAGGCTAGCAACAGTAAATTGTGCATCTTTGGTACGCTCCTTAATATAATTTGCTACTTCGAAGATCCAAAGTTGCATCAATTTCATATTGGTGTTGGTTCATAATAATGAAGTGTAAATATCAATGCTAAAGAACTTAGTGCCTAAACTATAAAAATTTTTATATATAAATTTATGAAACTTCCTGTTTTTTAAAGAGAAATAAATACCTTTTCGCCACTAGATAAAATTGACATCTTTTTATTGGTGGTATTACACAAAATATAATACATTCAGAGAAAAGATACAAGCTATCACAACATTCAAGTTCTGCATTTACACCAAGCGTCAACTTCTTTTAATTTTTTCGAAATAAATGTGAATCCATATACATGAATTCGTCTGATCTTCTTTGCGTAACTCGTCATATTCTATCACGTATTTATTTTCAAGTTATGAACATATGAGACATGTTATAATGTCCGTAGGCACAGCATGTCTCACTCATTTCATACAATTTCATACAAAAAAAATATTAATTTCAATTCCAAAAATACCCTGGGAATATTCCATAAATTTGTAACGTCAATAAATTACAATATGATGATTTCTGGAAAAAATATGGAGTTTTAAAACACGGATCATTTCACTTTTTATTTTCTATATAGAACAAGGTGGTTTTTTTATGTTGTTAACAATCTGATTATCAAATGGAATAACATTTCATATAAAAGTAAATATCTTCTTATGTTGATATTATAAATTACTAAATTTTTTTTTAGGTGATCGACATATCACTTTTTTTTTCAAAAAATAAAAATGTTTAAAAAAATTATAAAGGTGAATAAATAAGTTATTAATATTATAATGTAATTTATTGTTTAGTCAATTATTAATTAAATTCTTTTTTAAATAATAATAATAATAACAATAATAATAAAGACACAGAATTATAACAGAAAATGTATACAAGACTACATTATTGGTTATCAACAACACAGACAAATTTCCCAAGTAAATGAGCGAGATAAAAAATAATTTCTTTGATTTTCCAAAACATAAATATAAACATAGGCATTTGTATATTTAGATTACAATGTATATATTTTATAGTCAATTTTTCAATTTAATAGATTTTCAGATTTAGTGGCAAAAGTTCGTGAATCATATCCGATATCAGAGATAACACCAAAGGAACTTCATGACATGATTTCTGAAACACCTAAACCAATAATCCTCGATGTACGTGAGAAAGATGAACAATCGAGGGGAATTATACCGACGGCGATTCCCTTATCACGAGGAGTACTAGAGAGAGATGTTGAAAGAAAAGTTGTTAGCATAGATGAAGTTAATGTAGATAATGGAAGAAATATTATTGTTTATTGTGCAGGAGGTCTTAGAAGGTGAATGCTTTTTGAGTAGTTTATTGAGATTTGGATCGGATTTAGTTTTAGATTTGGGTTTAAGTTGCTGTTGTAATTGTGATTGTGATTATTGTGATTATTGTGATTATTATTGAGATCGGTCATTTTATTTTTATTTTCTTAGTATTCTAGCAGCAGAAAGTTTAATTCGCTTGGGCTACAAGAAAGAAAATGTTAAAAGTTTAACTGGAGGCTATGATGAATGGAAAGAAGGTGGTTTTGAAGTTGCTGGTTATGATGGCTCACAAAAATCATAAATCAAATAAATTAATAACCAAACCTTTGAGATTTTGCACTTTTTTTTTTTTTTGTTTTTTTGTTTTTTTTTGTTTCAATAATATGTAATCACATTACCATATCATGTAATGAAGGGTGAAGCTATGTAAAAAAAAACCTTTATTCACAAAAAAAATATCAAGATCAAAAATTATTTTTTTAGTCGATATAATAATAATAGTTGTAGTAATTGAATTTTCCCCCTTGTGGTGATAATAATAATAACATTAATATTAAAAATCATTTCTAGTAACAATAAAAATAGAGTAACACTAGAAAGATTGCGATATATGAATCATGTTTTATTAATTAACACTAATATATATGGCCTTTTATGAAACTTCTTTCCTTGTTTGTATTTCTCTAGGCAAGATTATCAAATTTTTAAGCATTTTAAAATTTTTCGTGTTCACTCATAAAAATATTGATTCTAAACAATAAAACAAATCCAATGTTGAAATCCAATCCATTAACTTTATAGACAAAAAAAAATATTTCTTTTTTTACACTAAAAAAAATGCAAATGTTGACGAATTGTTACAGATAAAACATCATTGACCTAAATCTATTGATTCTAATAAACAAATAAATATCGATTTTATGTTTATTTTTCAAAAAAAAAAAAAAAAAGAAATTATAATAATAAAAATAATTGATGCAGATTTTAACATTTGATGTTTTAACAAATTACATTCATCTATTGATTCATGTTATTTATATCAACAGCTACTATTATTGTTATTTTCTTTATTGCCAATATTCAATTGATGTCTAAATTTAGTTGAAATCAACCAATTAGAATATGAATTGGGCGAAAAGATTAAACAAAACTAAAGCAAACTAAATACAAACATGACCTACTAATGAAAGATAAAGCTTGGCTCGCAAGGCAGCTTGTGGAGAGCTTTAATTAAAGAGATTGAAAAAGAAAATGGATTGACCATGGAAACAAATCAAAAAATGAAGCAGAGTAATTCAGAAATTGGAAATTGGAAATTAACCAACAAGGGTTAAAACAGAATGTGATGAGAACAAGGAAAATCATGAGAATTTTATTAAACAATTGAAGGAAAGAAACGAGGACACAAGCCAATTACAGACAACAAGGATCAGAAGTTAAAATCTGAAAAGTGAAAAATAAAAAAGAGAGCAAGAAAAAAAGCAATCAGCAAATTAAAGAGCAATTAATGAGGATAAGGAAAACTATTATTCAATAGTTAACTGAGGAAAAAGTCAAGCAAAAGCTAAAGCCCAAACAACCAATTGAGCAAAAGTAGAATAAACTTAGCATATTATTCTATCACTATATGGAGGGAGGATATTGATTAAACCAAAATAAAAATGGACTAGAGCTGTTAAACAATTTTGACTAGTTTTTAAAATCCTGACCATATAAATATTCTTCTTGAAGTATTTGAAAAAGAACTTCTTTTTGTCTTTTGTTTTTATTTTGAAAAAAAAAATATATTATATAATAAAATCTAATTTCAATTCAAAATAATTTTTTACACTGATTAACATACATAGTAATAGTAATAGATGGTTTTTGTATCACTTGAAAATGACCAAAACAAAAATTAAAAAAAAACAAATTATCCAAAGCACTCTAGAAGGTACTTTAAAGAAAAAATTTTCTTATTCGTTTTATTTTATTGTTATAATATTGATAATAAATAATTAGTTCTATATTAATAATAATAATAAAATTTAGATAGTGAAGAAATTGTAAATGATAATGATGACAATGATCTAACGATGTCAAATCATAATATATCTACCGACGATAATTACAATAGTGGAGATGATGACAATAACAGTCACAATATCACAGATCAAAGTGACAAGGACTTTGCTTGCAAAACTCCGGGTTGTAACATGACCTTCAAAAATAGAATTAATCTTAGAAAACATAGTTTAACTCATATTGGAAGATGCGAATATCCGGGATGTTTCAAAATATTTGTTCATAAAGACGCATTACAAAAACATATGGAAGCTCATCTAAAAAAAAAAAAAGTTTTCAAATGTGAATATCCAGAATGTGCCAAATCATTTAAACTTGATTCACTATTACAAATACATATGAACCGTCATCTTGGAATTAAAAATTTTGAATGTGACATAGGTGGATGTAACAGAAAATTTGTCACCAGAAATAACCTTGAAATGCATAAGATACATGGACACAGAGATATTTTTTATGATGTATTTATTTAACTATTAAGCGTTAACTAATTATTTGCTTGCAAAAATAATCCATGAATAAAATTTTATCTGTATCAAAAATATTTAAATATTTAACATAGTAAACTATTAATTAATTAATAGATTAACGCATATCTTGAATTTCTTGTTCTTCGCCTTCTATATTATCATCATCAAAGTCCATGCTATTGTATGTTAAAATATTGGCATTATTAGTTCTAATAAACAAAAGGCATTTCCACTTAAAAAAATTTTTTTCTCTTATTACATCCACAAGTAGTTGTTTGTCTGATATTATGATTTGTTGATCAAGCACCATGTCTGCTGTTTCTGTAGTTGTGGTGATGATAATATGTAGTTTGTGTAGCATTTACAATTGTACTACCATCATGATTATGATAATGATCATTATTACTATCATATTATCGAAATTGTAATCCACGGTGATTGTTGTTGTCTCAACCTATTTATTACTGTTAACATTTTCGATGGTGATGGTGCTTTTTTTTTAAAAGATTGTATTGTGGTGGTGCTGAAACTCCTGTTGTGTAAAATGTTACTTGCTGTTAATTAAAAATTTGTTCAATTCAGTAAAATTTAATGAGACCTTTGAATTTGCCTAAAATTATATTGACTCTCTTTTCATGTCCCTCTTTTCTTCTCCATATTCATTATCATCATCTCTTTTTCTCTTAATCCATTTTGTATATCTATAAAAAATAATTCCTATCAACAATAATAGTTATTGATAAAAAAAAATAATAACAATAACAATTAATTGCCAATATTTTATCTACTAAATCCATATAATCACCAAAAAAGTGATCATTTGGCAAATATTTCCTGACATAATCTTCATATGATGGTTCTCAGTTTCATTAAATAATCACCATAAAATATGTTGTATTTTTGTTGTACAATTTCCAGGTTCAAGCTGATAATATTTGCTCTTGTCCCTTTACTGCTTCATCTTGAATAACAAATAAATGGACTTTATGAGGACTAAGGTAATAAATCTTATTTGTTGATCAGAATGTGGTACATGAACATTTTGGTTCAATTATAAATATAATGAGCAGTAGCATCAACACTACAATACTGTGTTTTTTACCTTTGGATAATGTTGATCAACTAGCTTACTTTCTTCCACCAAATTGGTATTTTTATTATAATAATTTCTTTCTAATTTGCCTTGGACAGATGTTCTTAAATCTTTTGAGTAATTCTTTGGCTTCTTCCTCTTGACAAGCATTGTAATATAAATCTGTTCTGGGACTCATTATTTGAATTTATGGTGTCAGCTGATATCACAGTTTTCTGAATGCATCATACTTCAAGGATTTTGATTACTATCTTCCTCAATACCAGCAAGAAAATTTCTATACACTGATTTATAACTCATTTCTACTGGTAAGAATATAACTGATTGGGTCATTCTATTGATGATCCTTGGTAATCCATGAACTTTAGCATAATTTTTTTTACCACACCAGCAACATCTTTGTCAACTACCGTCTTAGTTTTCCATTGGGACATTCTTTTAATTTTACCACATTAACCCTTGGTATAAGTCCATTGTTTATCATAGACAGTAAAAGGTTTTAAACACAAAACCATAAAGAATCTAGAAATAAACAAAAACATAGAGAAATAATTTCATCTTTGACAAAAGAGCGAGTTTTACTATCCATAGGAGTGGGTATCAGGATGGAAAATGATATCTTTTATAATTTCTGTTCTTTTAGTTTTCACTCATGGAAATGTCCATTGGCAATCTCTTGGATTTTTACAATCCCAGGATTGAAAACTTCAAAAATAAATTTCACAACACCACCTAATATCTTAAAATAGACATCTATACTATTGAATGCCTTTTCCAGCATCATAACATCTTATTCGATTCAGCAGCAATAGATCTTTATACAACATATACAATTCGTTTTTTGGTAAAATTTTCAAAGCATCAAAACTCCGTGTTCAGATATAAACTCCGGTACTATTTATTTTGCAATTATTTGATTTTTTAAAGATTGATACCATTTATTTTGTTATCAAGTGCTTTAAAAATAATTTATTGATCGAGTTTACGGAATAACGATAAAGATTTATAATTATATAAAGAGATTCCTGGATCTCATTCCACAAAAAGTTATTCATAAATAAAATCGAAATTCACGTGAGTTATATATCAGCAAATAATAATTCAAGTCGCAGTTTTCACTCTTTGGATCTCAATCCAAGGATGCAAGAGCCTTTTTTTCTGGTGCAGCAACTAAAAGTCAAAAAGAAATAGTTTACATTTATTATTCTTTAGGTGCAAGAAGAAAATGAAAGAAAGTGAGCAAATGATTTGTTGAGTGTTTGTTGATATGACAGCGCTGTGACGAATTGATTGATAATACATACAGTATGTGTAGCAGATAGAATTTTTTCTATGCGCTTTAAAGAATGTATGTTACTGTGGAAGTCATTGAACCAGTCAGGAACAAACAAACTGGAAAGGTTATGTGGGAATGGTACAATTTATCAATTAACTAAATCTAAGAATTCTACCCCATGTCATAAACTTCTTTCCCCTTGCTCATTCTGGTTTTGGGGTGACTAGATTTATGTATTTTTTGAAGAGATTTTTTTTTTGATATTTTTATTTATAATAGATATTAGAGACATCTGAAAAATTAAAATTAAAAATTAAAAATACAAAGTTATCCAATTATTATGCAATTAATTACATTAAACAAATAAATATAAATTAAAGAAATTTCTCTAATTTTTCATTTTTCATTTCTTCTTATTATTTTCCCTCTCTAACAACTCTGCTTCATATTCAAGTTTTGCCTTTTCATTTTTTCTTGCTTGTCTTTCTTCATATCTATTAATTTTAATCATTATTTAATTAATACATAATATGTATATTAATTTAAAATTTAAAAGAATAAAGCCTATTTTTATTAGAATTAATTTTTAAGCACTCACATCTTTCTATGTTCAATTATACGATCTATAATTTTTGCTGTAGTAATATCTGCGGATGGATTTTGTATTTCAATATAAATATCATTATTTTTTGGTAGCTATTTATTTAATTAATTAATAATAAATGAGATAATTAATTAATTTAATTAATTTATTTATTTGTAAATCTATTTATTTATTTAAAGTTATTAATTAACAAATACCTCGTAAGGATCTTTGCCATCTATGTCAGGTAAAGATGGAGTATTTCCATGTGCAACTATATCAACTTTATATACTTTGGATAATACGTTATTATCAACACTATACGGTGCTCCAATAATAACTTCATCCACATACTATATATATAATAATTTATATATATTATCCTTTATAGATTGTTGATGTTGTAATAATTTTTAATTGACACCTACTTTGCATGCCAAGACACTTAAAACACGCTCATGAAGATTCATCAAAGGGTAATTCACCCCTTTTATTGCATTAACTGTCTATTAATAATATAATGTGTTAACCAATTAAACTAATCAACTAGAGCAATCAATCAAAATGAACAATCAAATCAATCAATCACCTTATCATCATGAACGCCAACCAATAAATAATCACCCAAGGCTTTAGCTCTTTTTAAAAATTCAATATGTCCAATATGAAACAAATCAAATGTACCATCGACATAAACAACTTTGTCGTCAACATTTGGCTCCCTTCCTTCCGAAAATTGTACAATCCTTCTAGATGTTGGTAAAAAATGAGAGATTTTTGTTTCCATTTTTTTATTATGAGACGGGTCAGTACTAAATGTATTCAAATCCTCATTATTGACTGATGCAATGCTTGTTGATTGTCGTTTATGATGATCTCGGGTCATCAACAACATACGACCCACTAGTTCTGTTGTAGAGACACCTTGTGTTCGTTTACACTCTCTATATCTGCCTGCCTCTTTCACTTCTTTATAACAATCTGTCCCATCTGCAAGCGTGGTGATGTCATCTCCATGCACACAAAAATCGCAATTAAACTGGTCTAACATTTCTAAACTTGTAAAATATGGTGCATTTGGAACTACAAGATCAACCCATTTACATGCTGCTACTGCTGCATATCTAAAAAGATATTGGAAGTATTGTGAATAAAAAAAAATAAATATTGAAATAAATAATAAATAATATATAAATATTATTTATTTATTACCTTTCTTCTTCTTTCATGACAGTTGGTCCTTTATGTGCTTCAATTTCCATATCAGAATGAACTCCAACCACCAAATAATCTCCCATTGCTTTTGCCTATTGTTATTGAATATGATGTTGGAGTGGTGACGATGATGATAACAAAATAACAAAATATTTAATTAAATTGATTGAGTTGATTGGTTACCTGACGTAAAGCATTTGCGTGCCCATAATGCATCATATCAAAACATCCATCTACCCATACTCTATATATTAATATGTATTAATTATCAATTATTAGTATTTGATTTTTTTAAAAAAATTAATTTTATTAATTTTATTTTTACAGTTTGAAAAATTTACCTAATTACTTTTTTTTTTTTTTGATCCTTTGACATGTTTATTTATTATTGTTTTAAAAAAAAGTAAAAATAAAAATCAATGGTGTATATATATAAAAAGATTATCATTAAAAAATTTTTGATTATCTGATTTTTTTTTTTAATATTTGTATCGTCAGATAAATAAATTATCACAAACGATGATTCAAACAATCTTTTCGGAACATCTCAACTTGCAATATGTAAGGCATGGCACATATGTTCTGGTACGGGGTTATTATCTGAAAGATGAACTAATGGTAACGAAACAATAGATGATAATAATATTGAAAGAAAGGTGAAGATGGTTTTGCAACTACATACAAAGCTAATTGGATTAATCGTAATAAATATATAATTGATGGTAAAAGTGTTGGTGAAGGCTTGATTATAGCATTAAAAACATTATACAATTCACAAAAAATCTTTGATTATGGTATGATGTATAGGGTTTTGTGATGGATTACACAAGACTTAAAATTACAAAAGAATAATTCAATATATAAAATATGGAAGCCTTAATAAATTGAAAGATGAACTAAAAATTTTGTCCATCGCAACCTCCATAATGGCAATATTCTTTTTTTAAATAATTATATATGTTCCTATTATTTATCAATTCCTGTCATTAGTGCATCCAGTAAGGAATTGGTTTAACAATAAATGAAACTCAAATCCAGAAATTATCAATAAGTTATTATAACTTGTTTTACGTAGTACTCTCAAATAAAAGTTCAAATAATGTGTTTTTTTGAAAAATATGGGTAAAATAGTAATTTTACATATCACGGGAAATCAATAAATAAATCGGAAATGATTTACGAAAGTTGCACGCAAATAAAATTGGGAAAAACCTGTACAGATGCGAGTGAATTAGTGAATGGCTCTTGATCAGTTTCTCCGATTTTACTTTGGTAAATCATTCCGATTTATTTGCGCAGAAATAGGAGTTCGCATCATAAGCTAATCATCGGTTAACCATTTTTATCAATGGCAAGGTCATAATGATATCACAAGTTATTATAATAATAAGTACAAATTATTTTAGTATATTTATAATTAAATTTTCCCATCAAAAAAATTAAAAAAATGAATAATTCAAATATATGGACAATAAGCTTTGCTTCAGTTTTTTTTGTTGCAACAGTTTATTTTTTATTTATTTTCACAATACCTCTATTAGAAAAAGCGGATGATGGTCAAACGAATTTAGTAATAGTTGACACCACCACTTCATCAAATATCACCACAAAGTCAAATTTAGTCAAGTATGTGGACACAATTGAAGAATGTCCAACTCTGCCTCCACGTGATGTCGAAAATTTGACAGTTCATGATTTGAGAGCAGATGATATCACTTATATAATGGCGTTGGGCGATAGTATCACGGCAGCATTTGGTGCAAAAGGTCTACGTGGACATGATGAAGAGAAATTTTTGATAGAATCAACTAATAAAAAGCATAAAAAACAAATTAAAAAGGACAAAGAGTTTTTATATGTACTAGATCAGCAGAAAAAATATTTAAATAATAATGATGATGACAACGATCATGACTACAATGAATCTATACAACCATTTGATCCTAGAAATTTATACGAGAATCGTGGTTTAAGTTTTGCAATTGGTGGTGATGAAAATGCAACTAGCTTGGCAAGATTTTTGAATTATTATTCTAGATATGGCTTGATTGGAGCGTCTTTAGGAGATCATTTGACTCATATATGTCAAGGCATTTAATTTAATTTAATTTTAATTTATTTATTTATTTTTATTAAATATTATTTTGCTTGTTAATTGGTTTTAATTGAATGAAATAATTTATTTATTTGTGATTAGGTTTATTTTGTTTACCGTATCAATACAGACCTTTACAAGATCGTTTGAATGGTGCAGAATCTGGTGCAATGGCAAGTAATATTTATAAACAAGTTGATTATCTTTTATGGCAACTTGATCTTGAAAAATCTCATAGAGGTACAAGATTCGTTGATGGAAAGTTTAAGGTAATTAATTAATTCATAATAACTATTTGTTATACATATCTATGTTTATTTTAATAATATCGTTATAATTATAATTATAATCATCAGCTTTTGAATTTATTCATTGGAAATAATGATTTATGTCAAAGTTGTAATAATATGAACACATCACCTGAAAAGTTTGAAAAGGTTATACGTGACACGCTTGACAGCATTATGAATAGAATACCAAATACAATAGTAAATTTAATGGGCGTGTTCAATGTATCTCAAGTTTATGATGTGACACATGGACAAAAATATTGTAAATGGTATGATGTTCCTTATATAAATTTCGAGTGTACTTGTGCATTTGCTCCAGGTAAATATTTATAAAATTAATTTTTTTATTATCATTAATTGAAAAAAATAATTAAAGGCTTTCTTTTTTTTTTTTGTAAAAAAAAAAAAAAAGGCGAATTTGGTGTTCTAAATCGAAAAATTATGGATGATTTAGCAGCAAAATATAATACCATTTTACAAAATATAGTTGCTGATTACTCTAAACTAGAAAGAAATGATTTTGCTATTGTTCATAATCGATTTGATTTAAATTTAACCACTTTTCCAATTGATGGATTAAGTAATATTGACTGTTTTCATCCAAGGTAATATATATATATATTATTTTTTTTAATTTCAAAAATTTTCTCCTTTACTCACATTAAAAACCATCGATTTTATTAGTAAAAAATCTCATGAATATATCTCAAAGGTACTTTGGAATAGTTTAGTAACACCATTCAAAGAACGTGAATCCGTCATTAGTTGGGATGATGACATTAAAATTAGATGTTTTGGTGAAGATGACAGGATCATTACATACTAAAAAGAGATTTATATCTTGAAATTTTTTTTGTAAATATTGAAATAAAAAATATCGATTATGATATAATCACATGCTTTTTTGTAATATTAACTAGAGGGAGGGAGGGAGGTTCAATACAAATGTTACACTAAGACTTCACAAAACTGCCAAATAAAATAAATGCACTTTTTGATCCAAAAAATTTTGGTTCCCCAAGGTGAAAGAGAAGTAGTGGTGAAGATTTTTTACGTCTAAAGTTTTATTTCATTCATCTTTTTCAAAAAAAGTTCTTTTCTATTAAGTTTCGTTTTAATTATAATTGAGCTTTTTTGCTAATATACCTTTTTAAATGATGCGTTGGGCTTCAAGTGTTGCAACAACAAAGGTACTATGGGCTCCAAGTACAAGAGTTGGTTAGGTTTTGATGAGAGATTTGTTCTTTTTATTACATTATTATTATTTACTGATCTAGATTATATTTAAAATAGAAGGAAGGGTTAATAAAGATCTTTGAATAATATAATTAGAATTGTTAGTTTATTTCATTTTATACATTCACTTAAAATAATACATAATACAGGTTTATAATATTGTATTTAAAATGAATCTATGGTTGAATTATTGTTACGCGAGGTATTATTACTATACTCCTGTTGTATATTAAACGATGAATCATTGTTACGCAACTATTAAAAAAAATCAATGATAATAGGTAATGATACTATTGTTAATGATAATAATAACATTTATTTGGATCTAGAATCATTGTTGTGCAACCATTAAAAAAGTATATTACTACTAATGATGATTTTATAATAACATTGTGTTGTTAGTTGTCTTTAATCAAAAATAGATCTATGGTTAAATGAATCATTGTCATGCAACCATCAAAAAAATCAACTGATGGTAATAGGTAATGATACTACTATGAATGATAATTCTTATTGTATATAATAATAACATTGTGAGATCTATGGTTAAACGAATCATTGCTACACGTATTACTCATTGTATATAATAATAATAACAATGTGAGATCGATCTATGGTTAAACGAATTGTTGTTGCGCGTACGTATATAATAATACCATTGTGAGATCTATGGTTAAACGAATTGTTGTTACGCATACTATTAATGATAATTCTTATAAGCATTACAATTATATAGCGGACAGTTTTGGTTTTGTGAAATCTTAGTGTGTAACATTCGTGATATTAATATGGAATTGATATACGTGTGTGACGTCTGATCAAATTTTTTATTTAGGAAATGATTTTCAAGAATATATGTTACTTTTGGATCGACCATCCCCATCTTCAATTGTAATGTAAACCAAAGGGGAGTGCCCAAAATGATATAATTTCGCTCTGATATACCCCCATGTCGAAATCACAAAAAAGTTATTTGTATTTGATATCACAAAAAATTTTTGATAAAAATGAAATGAATTTTATTAGATCATATTATGTGAAACGTCGAAAGCTTCCAAACCCCGCCCCCAAACCGAATGATGTCATTTTGGGCAATCCCCAAAGTCCAGGCGGGCCCTATTCGTTGAGTATTGTTGATTGGCTAAACACACGACGTTACACAAACCCAATTGGTTACTAAAGTAAATATCAACAACTATAGCTCTTTTTTTAACCTCTTTTTTTTAAAACTAAAATAACAATCATCCAAGAAATTATTTCGAGTGTAAACAATGGAAAATCCAAGAGAAATCTCAAGTGATAAAAGATCAACAACAACAGCAACCAAAAAAATAATAGAATCAGCAGAACCACTAAAAACAAAAAAATCAGCAATAGAGGAGGCAGCAGCAAGATTAAGGTTACCACTCACTTCAAATAACACTAATAAAAAATTTAAAAAAATTCAGAAACAGCAACAGCAATCACCAATTACCACTACCACTACTGCTTCTTCCATTTCCAACAATAATATCCTCAACAACACCATGAGCAATAGACTCAACACCATGAGCAATGGCAATGGCCTTTACGTCATGAGTAATGGCCTTTACACCATGAATCACCACCTTATAAGTAATGCTATGAGTAATAATAATGGTAATTTTACTTCAAATTATCTTTTCATCAATTCAACTCACAAAGATTATTATATGGGTGTAATTTTGAATTTGTACATGAATATTCATGTCCACAATCATTATCATCTTCCTCCCAATAATCAGTAGGAGTAACATCGCCATATTCGCCATATTCACCATACCCAACAACAAAACCTATTGCCATATCATCTGCATCATCAAAATCATTAGCAACACCAATCACTAATTATTACAACAACAACAACAACAACAACAACAATAATATTTTAACAAGTCAAGTTTATGAATTTGATAAATTTAAAAAACACATTTCAGTTATGTTAAACAATGATTTTGACCTTAAATCCATAGAGAATGAATTTTCAAGTAACAGAGATCATATTCAACAGTTGTATTTAAAACAAGATTTGGCACCAAATGATTTGATCTTGGTGTTGGATTGCAATTTAGCATATTATATCAATACTAGGATTTCTCAACTTCAACAGTAATGTTAATTTTTATTTTCTTTTAAATTTTATGGGGGAGGAAAGGGTTAGAGTGTAGTGAGTGGTTTGAGGGGGAGCTCGGGTAATTATAATTAATTTGATGTCGTCTGGAAAATCTTACTAAAAAAGGTAAACCGGTTTCCTTTTTGGAACAATTTTTTAAAAATGCTTTTTTTTTGTTTGCAAGATTTAATCATCAATTTCTACCCATTTCCACAATACCAGTTCAACTATAATTATCCAAGTTCCTAGTGAAGGTAAAGGTGTGTCATCTCCTAATATGTATTATTTATATCTTTATTTACTAGAATTCCTGTACCTGGACAAAATTTTACTACATTATATTTTCACTTTTGGAAATGTTTTGAATATAAACTGGTAACACAATTATATGAAAATTCTAATTTATTAGTTGCTGAATAAATGAACAAATGAATAGATGATGACCAATTAACTGTCCAACTGATCATCATTATTATTTTATAGATTTTTGTCAGTAGATATTATCCATTTCTTAAAGATGTTTTCAATAAAATAAATCAAACATTATGGTGATGTATTAATTAATATAACATGCTATTATCATCATCATTATATCACCATTGTCATATTATTATTAATATGTGATTTTTGTTATTTTAGGACATTTGGGATGAGAATGCTTTCTAATAATTTAAAAAAAGCAAACGTTATATGTAATAATCTTATTAAATCTGTATTAATCATGTTTAATGAATTGGGGTAAAAAAAAAAGATTTATCAAATTTTTAATTCCTTTCCTGGTAATTTCTCCAATTAGTTAATTGATTGACTAATTTTAATTAATTTAATTAACTTTTATAGAAATCAAAATATTTATATTAACATAAATAACAACAACAATAAAATTACAAATGCTAACAGCAGCAACAGCAGCAGTAATACTAATGGCAATAATGAATATGGTCACTATGATGATTATATAAAGACAATGATAAAGTCAATCAAGGAACTGGGACTTTATGATTCATTTAAATATGCATTTCTAGACAATTCAAGAAAATTTTTTCATGAGAAAAGTCAATCATATCAACCATTAATTGAAAATCGTAATATAGGCACTTATTTGAAATTGATCAAACAACAGATTGAATTTGAGATTGATAAAGTGACTTATTTTTTTGGTGAAGAATTGTATATCAAAGAATCTTCAGTTAAGATCATGATTAATGAATATTACCTCAGGCATATGGATATTATAATTAAGAAAGGTATGAGCATATATACATTTGAGAAAGTGGTATATACATATTATATATTATATGAATATTATTTGTTATTTATTATTATTTGTTATTCACTCACTATTCAACATTCATTCATTCATTCATTCATTCATTCATTTCAATAGTTTTTTTTGATTTTGATAGTTTAGTGAATTTGGTTTTATTATATGATATTTGCAAGACTATTGATTTAATTAAATTTTTGGATATTTTCTTTAAAAAATACATCAATGTGAGTATATATATACATATATATATCAAGTATGTCATTTATAATTAATTAATGTAAATTAATTATATATTTTCTTGATACTTTTTATTTTATTTAGAATATTTATAATTCACATATTATCTTTTCACCACAAAAATCATTAAAAATCAACAAAGAAAATTTGCAAACATTAAGTCAATTAAATAGGAAATTTAAAAACATTCAATCAAATGAAAAATATTCAAATATTATAAATATGTGGAATAAAAATTTCATATCATTTGTCAATGAAAAAAAAGATAATATCACTAATTTTTGTGGTAAATAAAATAATTGTTTAATAACATTGATAATAATTGTCTAGTATTTTATGAATGAATTAATTATTAATTATTAATCTGCTTATTTATTAGTCGATTATATTGATCATTTAATAATAACACCTTCAAACCACACAAAATCAGAGAAAATAGATGAAATATTAGAAATTACTTCATTAATTGAATTATTAGATGGTAATAATTTTTATTATTATTATTACTGCTGCTGCTGCTGCTGCTGCTATATTATTAATTATTGTTATTTATAGATAAACCTTATTTTATGAAACATTATAAGAAAAAATTTGCTAAAAGACTACTTTATCATCATGATGACAAAAACTTTAATCTTTCAAATGAAGAGTGGATTTTGTCATTATTTAACAGGGCAAAGATAATAGGTAGATGTTAAATTATTGATTATTATTATATTGTTGTATGATATATAATTGTTTTATAATTCATTTTCAGGGGACGATTTATATTTAGATAATTTATATGGGATGATTAAAGACATCCATGAATCAATTGGAATAAAAAAAGATTTTGATGTAAATATTAATTAACCAACAACAACGACAATTAATTGATTGATTGACATCTATAATTAATAATTAATGTCTTACCATTCATTAATCAAACATTTTTGTAGATTTTTAATCATCTCAAAGTAACAATATTAACAGGGTCCTATTGGCCAAAATTTATCACTGGACCATCGCCTGAAGTTGCTGATCTAAAAATACCATATGAAGTAAATCCAATAATAATAATATATCATCATCATCATTATATGTTAACTTGTATATATATTAATCAATTTTTTAGTTGTTCTTGATGAGAAAATCATTTCAAAATTATTTTTATTGTAAGAGAAGAGATGGCGCTAATAGAAATCTTAAATGGTTACATTCCTATGATAATCTAATTATTTCTTTAATTCATCCAAAGGTAGTTAATGATTATATTACTATAAATATTATTAATAGAATATTAATACTAATGTATTTTTCAATATTATCTGCTAGGGAAAAATGTACTTTAGTATAAATATGTGCATGTTTATAATATTGGAAATGTTCAACTATACAAGATCATATCAAATATCATACACTATTCGTGAAATTATGAAAAATACCGAATTAGGTAAATATATTATGTATGTATGTAGTTTATACACATATGTATCTATTATATAATATTTAACATTCCATATTATTTATTTACTTTATTTAGATTTTGAAGTATTAAAAAGTGCCTTAAGTTCGTTGATATTTGGCGAAATTAAATTGTTGAATAAATTTGTGAATTCAAAGAGATTAAATTTATCTGATGCTATTTTTATTAATGAAAACTTAAACTTCATTGAATCAACTGTTGACAATCCAATAATAATTGATGAACGAAAATCACAAAGACAGGTAAAAAATATATTTTATTCTTGATTTAAAAAACAATTAATTTGATACATATATATAAACTAACACGTATTCATTCATTTGGGGATGAAAAAGATATCAACATCAGAGGATGTTCAAATCTCTTCTTATAATATATCCAATGAAATAAGGATAGATTCAAGGATAATGAAATTAATGAAATTACATAAACGTTACCAACATAATAGTTTGATTAGTTTTATACAAAAAGATTTTAAAAATAATTTTCATCAGCAAGTTCAGGTAAATAATTTAATTATTGTTTGTCATTTTTTCTATTCATTAATTAATATTCAATTTATTTTTTATTTTTTAGCAAAAACTTATCGATGTTCAGGTTAAATCCTTAATAAAACGACAATTTTTAAGAAATGAAGGCAAAAATGTTGTTTATGTTCCTTAAAAAAAAATTTTCATTTTTCATTTTTTTTATTCTTGCTTAACCGCAAAAATTGCATTATAAATGTTGATCAAATTTGTGATTTTTTCAAAAAAATTTTAAACCAAAATAAAAAAAAACAAATCTTTACCACATCTGAAAGGAATGTTGTTTGAAATTACAACATTTACTCAGATTCTAGACGACTTAAGCATAGTGGAAGTTTGTTGTTACACGAAATGTTATACAGGATTCATTGCTCCTGAAACTTCACCAGTATATATAGTTGTTACCTCTCTAAATTGGAGATCCAATTCAAATCCAATTCATCACTTACTTTTTATTGCCAGAATGTTTGCCGTGTATTGTAAAACTACGTTGCACAATATAAAAAATTAGTGTAACATTTCAAATTTCCACTATGCTGGATTAAACAATAAAAAGAAAATTATTTTTATTCAACTAATAATAGAAAAATACATAAATAATTATAAAAATAGAAGTTAAAAAAATTGTCAGAGCACTTGCATGGGAGGAAATACTTGGACCAAAGCCATTTGTAAGTATTACCTATTCTTTGGGCACTCTGACAAAAATCTAACTCACTATTACTACTGCTATTCTTTTTATTATTATCAATAATAATATTATTACTAATATTTATATTTTCATTGTTTTTATTATCTTCTTCATCTTCCCTCTCCACCACTTTCTTCTTCTCCTTCTCAACCCACTTCTGGATTTCTTCTATCATTTTCCTTCTAGGGTTTGTTTTCTGTTGGTAAAAGTTTTTTATTGTGGAAGCAACAACACCTTTTCCCTCTCCAAGTAATTCACAAATTTCAATGATCATTTCACTGAATGAAAAATTTGGATTTAGTTCAATCTTTTTGTCAAATAATTGTTTGAAATCCTTCCATAGATTTTCTATTTCTTGTGAATATTTTTTATCACTAGTAAGATTGTTTATTTTATTTTTGAATTGGCTTTTTCTTGGTTCAATTTTATCAAATATTTGATTGATCTTTTGATTTATAATACAGAACTGATTTTAATAAGTTTTATAATGAAGTAAGAAACCAAGCAAGATTCCAATTAACAATCCACAAACAAGTTCACAGTTGAAAGTAAGCATTTTTTAAATGTTATTGTGAATGAAAAAATATTGTAAATATTTATTGATTATTATTATTTGATGGTTTTTTTGAACTAAAAAATAAAATTGTGTTTAATAATGATTGCTAGGAGTTGTTATTTGAATTTTTTTTACCTGAAAATAAGTGAACTGGACTATTTAACTTATTTCAATGTCAATGAGAAAAAACAAAGATTTATGTTCTTGAATGTAAAGTTCATTCAATCTTTTTTTTTTTACTGATAAGCAATGCAACGTGATGATCATTGATTACATTTGCATAAAGAAGTTTCTCTGTATATAGTAAAAAATAAGATAAATCAATATTATAACAATTAGATTATTTTCCTTCTGATGATTTTTGCTTTTTGTTAGGTAATAGTACACTTTCATTTTGTTTTCTTTTTTCTGACATCTATTATTTTTCTTTCTTCTTGGTAAATTTCATAAGTAATCTTTTCTTTCCTTAGATAAGCTTCAATTGCCTGAGTATCATTTATTTTGAAAATATAAGGAACAATTTTTCACCTTGTTTCTTTTTTAAAATACTTCTAATGGTGCTGTAATTCTTTGGTTCCATAGTGGATCTGATGTAAATTAATTTCATATTATTATTTTTATATAAGGGTAATTTATCACTTAAGATAACAAATTATAATCACATTACAAATCTTGATCCCTGAAATTTTTGGTAATACCAATGTTCACTTTATCTGGTTTTGTTGCAGCATGCCCCATTTATAAAAATACTGAAGGCAATATTTGCATTTAATTCGTGATCCATGATAGAAGTGTATACTGCGCCACGTTTTCTGAAATCCAGGGTTGCTAAGTAGCAAAGTCAAAAACTTGTAAAGAAAACAATAATAAAAAATATGTCAAATAATGGTTGAGATTTTTTGCATCATATTATTTAATATTCTGTGTAATGTTTATCATGTGTGCTGGTAGAAAAAATTTGGAAGTTGGTCAATTGTAACCATTTGATAGTGATGATCCCCACAATTTACTAATTAATTTTCTACAAGTCAGACCTCCATAAGTGCATCCTCCATAAATGCACACCCTCCATACTCTGCACTGCACGGTATTTTTTCGGTCCACTCATATGAAAACTCTCTCCATAAATGCACCCCACGTGACCAATGTATAAAATTCATCGTGTAACTAGGATAATTTTAGAAATAATCAACATAAATTTTTGATTTAATTGGATAATTTCCATATAACAACCCGAATTTCGTAAATTTTTTATTCATTATTTTCTTTCATTTCATAATTTTATAACAAATAAAGGTTCAAAATTTTTGTTATTTTACAATTTCTGTAATTTATAATAAATTATATATTTTTATTTATTGCTTTGTATTTTTACAACGAAATTATTTATTAATTATAGCTTTGTAATTATTCAACGGAAATATTTGTACATAAATTTAAATAAAATTAATCAATCCTTTATCAAATATTGTCTATGAGGTTCCAGAGGACAATAAAATTATTGAATAACTTGCAGAAATATATAAAAATAATATGAATGTACCTGCTGATGATTTTGATGAAAACAATGATAGCAATGAACAACCAACAATAAGCCATAAGAAAGCATCAAAAAGTCTTGAAACTGTAGATGCATTTTTATTACAGCAAGAAAATGCTAACGAACAAATAAAATTGGTTAATAAAATCGAAAGATATCTCAATGTAAAAAAAGTAAATTCATCAAAACAAACTACAATGGATAGTAATATATAGTTATTTTAAAATATAATATAATAATTTTTTTTAAAAAAAATTGTGTAACACGTGCAACCAATGAAATTGCTTCTCTCTATAAATGCACACACACCCTCCATAAATGCACGCTGTCCCTCAGTCCCAAGGGGGTGCACTTATGGAGGTCTGACTGTACTTCTATCACGAATTAAAATTAATTTTTGAAAACATTCATAATGATATGCATAAGCATATATTAACACACAATCGTCAATCTCTCTTTTATTATTATTGCAGCTTTCATAATCACAAAAGGTTTTATGTTTGGGTGGCTTGTAGTATGATATCCTGATGGTGGTGCTTTCATTATAATTTCCATATTAAAAGTTGCCAATAAATATAAACTTTGGAACATTTATATTATTTGAATTTTCCGAAATTTTTTGAATAAAATCCAAAAGAAATAATGCAGATTTTTTTACTATATATTGCATCTAACTTTTTTTTTGTGTAAGGGTATTTTTTTCCCAATACAAATGGTTTTATAAATTCAGCATTATGCCTAATAAAAAATATAGTGCATAATTTGCATAATCTACCAAGTGTTGCATGCATAATTTGATGTTTGTTGCCACATAAAATCTGGGATCTCTAAGTCGGACTTTCTGGATATAAAATTCGCATCAAACTGTTCCAATAATTTAACTCCCATTAATCAGATTTCATTTCATCATCATCAGTAGTAAAGAAAAAGACACGAAATGAATATTAGGGGACAACTCAATGTTACACATATTAATATATTTGACATTTTCAAAGCTGTCATAATTTTGAATGGCTCTCACGCACCATTTGATGTCTAAATATGGAACGCCGAACAGGTCAAAAGGTCCTGTTCGGCGCGCCATATTTAAATTGTTGCACCTTAGTTTAAAAAACTTGTGTTATAGATTAAAAAAACAAGTTTGGTCAGGTGACCTCGGAAGTGGTTTTCAATTTTAGACTTGTAATAATGAACATTTTGATAAATAAATAAATATATAATTACCATTATTATTTATTACATATATATTTTTTGGAAAATAAAATTACAAATACAACTATATTTAAAAATATTTTAATTACAACTTTATAAAATATTTTTTCAAATAAAACAAAGTCTATAAATAAATAAATATTAATAGTGGTGTTATTATGATACAATACATCCCTTTTTCTTTTTTGACGATACTTGTGATTCATTATCATCATTATCATTATCATTATCATCATTGTTGTTATTATTGTTTTTTCTTTGTTTTATCATTGTTCTACCATCATATTCTATTAATTCGTCATCAACAAATTCTTGTCTTGATGATGATTTTTGTTGGTGTTGTTGCTGGTGTTGCTGTTGTTGTTGCTCACGTTTTTTCTGTTGTCTTTTATGTTGACGATATTCAGCTTCTCTTTCTTCTTCTTGTTGAAGACTTAAAGCAAGTGCATAACTATTATTACAATTAATTAATTAAACCATGATTTTTTGAGTATTAATCATAATATATATATTGTTATGTTAATATTATTACTTTTATTATTACTTACTCCTGATCGCCACCAAATACATCAGAATCATTATGGTTATTGTCATCAACATCCACATAATCACCACCGACAGCTTCGCACTTTTCAAAATGTGCATTGACAAATTCAGATGATGATTGGTCAACATCGATTAATGATTCCCAAACAACTGTTCTCTCATTAACAAATCCAGCATCAGTTACCAACACATATAATGTCAAAGTTTTTGGATGTTTATAAAGCGTTGAAAACTTTATTTAAAAATATATTATTTTCTTATTATTTTCTTTATTATCTTGATGATGAAGAATAAAAGAAGCTAACTCACATGATTGTTCCTGAATAATACACATATATGGCCTGGTGGTAAAGTTTCTGATAATGATAATAATCCATGGTATGTTAATTGGGTCGCAGTAGATTCCAAAAATTGAGATGTAATCAAGGCTAAATATAATAATAATAACAACATTTTATATATTACATACATATCATTATCATAAACAATATTTAATTACCATCTCTTATCTTATTTTTATCATCAGTATCCAAGTTTTTATCATTGTTGTCATCAAAATATCCTGAATAATCATTATTGACTCTGTCGCTA